GTCAAGATTGAAACGCTCGCAGACCTTGCGCGCGAGGATGGCCTCGTGTGAGTTCACGCCCCCAAAGTTCCATCCGCGAGACAGGACGCCTGCGAGCGCCTCTGCGATCTGCGGGTTCGAGTGGCCGAATATACCGGCGCTGTACTCGCCCAGGAAATCGGTGTATGTGTCCCCATCGACAGAGGTGAGGGTGCTGCCGTGCCCCGACTGGAAGCTCAGTGGGAACGGGGTGGTATAGAGCACAGAGCGTGTGTTGCCGCCAGGGAAGTATCTACAAGCTTCCTTGTGGGCCTGGTTGGATTGGGGGTTTTGTTTGACGAATGCCTCTTGGACGCTGGAGAGGGCAGCTTGAAGGGACTGGGATGGTGCCATTTGGGACATGGGGTATCTTGCAGGCGACAGGAACAGGGGGATTTGTCTCAAGGAACGTTGAAGATGTCTCTACGGGACTACTTGTCTGTATTGACCGCAATGAGCGATTGACTGTTTTCTAGTAACCAGCAATCATAGGCCGGAAGTCAAATTAAAATCATATGTACAGAGTACTCTGTACACACAGAACATATACAAAATGACAGTCAAAAGTCTTGCGCACCTTGTGCGAGATGGTATGTACCGTTGATACATCTGCAGTCTTTGGGTATTTCGGATGCGGGGAAAATCTGGCTCTCTCGGCTATGTAGCTCGTCGCTGCTGCTGGCTTTCCGCCCGGCACCGTCGACTGGCAATCCCGAGCGCCAAGCAAAGAACGAGAGAAAAAGAAGTCCTCGATCTGAGATCGAACGCTATACGAAAGGACAAAAAGTGCATTCGGTTCGCTCTCAGCAAGAACCTTGGCAATTGCATCTACATGACCTCAAAAAGGGTTGTCACGAAGCAAACGTGTCACAGACTGCAGACCGGATCATGTACAACAGAAATATACATACACAAAAAAGATGTTATGCTCTCTTGCAGGGATTTTGCATTGTCGAAAAGGGTGATGCTGTGTAAGCTGATCTGCAGTTGTATGCTTTTATTTTTTTATTTTTATTTCTTTTTCTTTTTCCCTCCATTTTTGATAATGACGATTGTCCGTAAAAAGCCAAGCAAACAGGGCTGTGCAGAGGATAGGAAGAAACAGGGGGTCTGAAGAAGAAAGAGTTGGGTATCTCAGCATGGCCCAATTTACCATTTGGTTGGCAACTCTGCACTCCGTATCCGTATGGGACATGCTACATATGCGTGATGTTAGAGAGTGTCTCAGCTGGAGGAAGTGTTCACGTGCGAGACAGTTGGTTTCCGACCAGAAACGGGGGTAACCATCCCATTCCAAAGCCGTACAAAACAGGATGCTCTGAGCACTGCAGGCCGGAGAATTCCCCCAACATGTGCATTGTTGCAGGTTCTGCAGAGGTGCCACGTGGATGATGAGTCTGCCGTGAGTCGCGCGGGCTTCTCCAGACGGATGCACAGGATGTGTGTCCAGACATGGATGTTCCCCTGGTGGTCATGAGAGAGGGGGGAAACATGTGGGATGTTGAGGACAAACCCCAATACAGGCATTGCACATGTGGCTACGTAGCAGGTGGCCTGGGGTTTAAAAAAAAAAAAAAAAGAAAAAGAAGAAGAAGAAGCAGAAGAAGAGAAGAAGAGTGTGGGTGATCATCTGGAACAAATGTGGAAGTTAGAGGAGCTGCATGTCTAATTTGCTCGGAAAATCGGTTGGCATGTTCTGCAAGTGTCCAGGGTGCCAGGTTCAGCATTGATTGCCGTTGCTCTCATTCGGCCTTTTTTGACTTTCCCTTTTCTTTTCTTTTCTTTTTTTTTTTCCCCTCCCGGTGACCCATCGACGTCATGTCTCAATCCTTGACAATTGGATCTTCAGAGTGAGGGTTGTGCATCTGCGGTTTATTGACTTGGCTGATTATACCTCAGGATTCAAAGGATTGCCAACTCTGCGGAGCTGGTCCTGGTTGAGCGGTTCAGCCAGTCAGTCAGTCAGTGAGTGAGTGAGTGAGTGAGCTAGTTAGTCATTGATTTGCCAACCGCATTGCTGCTGGACAGTGTTTGGGAGCGGTTCATGCTCGCCGACAAGGGGGAGCGATAGACGATTGACGCTGGTTGCTGCGGATGGGGATTGTTTCAGCGGCGGATCTCTGGTTTTGGCGCCAAGTCCGCCACGCTGCCCCTGGCGTCAGGCTGCTTCCGGCCTGGCTGAAACAGTAGCGCAGGGGCTGCGAGTGTGAGAAGTTTTGCGATCCCAGACTTGGGCGGCGACCAACTGCTATTAATAACCCCCCGCTGTCCGGCTGAGGGAATCGGGCCTTTTTTTTTTCTCCTTTCTACTCTTCACTTCCCTCTTCCCCCCCGGGGGGACAGGAGGATCAGCGGGTGGCAAAAAGTGTTCGGGGTTTGGAAAGATGACAGAGATAATAATCTGAGGAGCAGCAGTGTCTTTGACAGCAGTGGCGGATGGATGTTCTTCCCGGCAAGCGGCCATCACGGTAGGGCTGGCAGCAGAGCGGGTGTTAATTATCCTTTTTTTATTTTTTTATTTTTTTAACGTACTACGTATGTGTCCAGTACATCAAACTATACTCCGTACATGCTTCGTACACCGGCCACATGGCTTCTCGATCGGTGGATTCTCTGCTGCTCTGTGTGCTGCACGGGATGATCCTGTCGAACTGTAACTAACTAGCTGGCCGTCTCATCCCTGGGCAGAGGAAGGGGACGAAGAAGCCTTCCAGAACAGAGAAACCCACCTTTCTTTCTGTCGCGTTCATTTCCCGCGATCGGACATGGGGGTGGAGATTGTGCCTGCAGTCTTGTGATCGATCTCGATTCACCACGAACGGAGCCTGGAGAAGTAATTGTAAAATGATCCTGGTCCTAAGAAGATCTCTCCTTTTCTTTTTCTTTCTTTCTTTTTTTCTTCTTTTTTTTCTTTCTTTTTCCCCCATCATTATACAGAGGAAGAACAAGCATGAAGAGGAAGAGGATAGCAGCACAACGGGGCCGCCTTTCTCTGCTCGCCTTGACATGAACCGTACTGTACATCCATACATACGTAATAGTACGATGCTCCGTACAGACATGTGCCGTGTCGTGCGGGACAGCGGTAAATTACAGCCAATGACAGAGGCCTGTGGGGCGAGATGGCTATTTTTAGAGCACAGACGGTGGGCGTTGCAGGTGCTGATTGGCCAGGATAGGACAGTTCGTCCAAGCGCCGTGAGTTTTTTGGGGTTGGTCGGCGGGGGGCGGGTGCTGATTGGCCGGCCTGGGCTGTCTCGTATCGCGCAGGACGTGGGTTTTCGCGTGGTTTGTAACCTTCGATTTCATCCCGGGGGCCGCCGGCGGATGGTGAAACTTGCAACAGGGGAGCAAAAAAACCTTTCTTTTCTTTTTCTTTTTTTTTTTTTTTTTGTATTTCAAGTAGTATTATGTATTATAGGAACACACTCTGTGGGAGAGAGAGAAGAGGATTAAAAAAATAAAAATAAAAATAAAAATAAAGATAAAAATAAGAAGCAAGGGGAGAAAAGAAAATGTGCATCAATAAGGGCAGTGTGATGGTTGGTGGTCACTTAATAAGTGCTGACATCGTGCTGACCGAACGGGCTGTTTATTTACCCTGACCATACTCTCCGTACTCCCATAAATTCCATACATACATACCTACGGAAAGTACTCTGTACTCTGTACTAAAATACACCCACCCACGCCCCCCCGGTACAGCGACTTACACAACCCTTACGGATAGCGCAGTGGCTGTATACACCCCACCCGCCCTGCTGAGCGTCAAGTTGCGCTGCTTGTCGCTGGCTGTCGCTGCTGTTGTTGCTGCTGCTGTCGCTGCTGCTGCTTGGCTGGCTGGCTGGCTGGCCGTTCTTAGGCTCTCTCTCACTCACTCTCTCACTCAACTCTCTCTCATCCATCTCAACTTCACCTCTTCCCACTTCCCTCTCCTCCCCTCTTCTCTCCTCTCCTCTTCTCTTCTCTTCTCTTCTCTTGTTCTGCTTCTTCATTGCATTCCTCTCCCAGCCTGCACCAGCATCTGCCTTCTCTTCCTCCTTCCTCTCCCCCCTCTCCCTCCTCTCCCTTGCGTTCTCTCTCTCTCTCACACACACACACACACACTCTCTCTCTCTCACTCTCACTCTCCTTTGATCACACCCTCACCTGGTGCCTGGTGTTCCTCTTTCTTCTCTCTTCACTGTCGCATCCCAGCAGTTCCCTGGCTCACCAGCTCATCAGCGGGATTCCTGCTACTCTTTTTTAAAACATCTCCTTTCTTTTGATCTCGCTCTCTCTCTCTTTTATATTATTCTCATTCACTCCTTCTCTGACCCTCCTTTGTGTGCCTTTCGTTTCGCTCTCGTTTCAGCTTCTCCCCGTCGTCATTCCCAGGTGGAACGGCTCTCTCGCAAACTCCTCTTTCGCCTCGCCCAACCTGAATCACCCGGCGCCAGAGCTTCATCCTCGCCTACCAACAACTACCCGCCGCGCCTCCGCTTCCATCCTCCATCATCTCTTGTTTCAATCCGTCCTTGCGCTCCCGGAGGCCTTGTTTTTTTTTTTTAAATCGCTTCTCTCATCCTTCCGCGTGTCTGGCCCTGAAATCCACCAGTTACATACAACACGCTCACATAAACAGTACGTTGCATCCCGTCTCAGCTGGATCGCCCTGGTCCTTTTTCCACTCCTCCCCTCACCCCTGCGAGGTTAATTGCCCGTAGTACCTCCCCACCCCTTGTTTATTTTGTTCCTGCTTCTCTACTCCATGCTTGGGGACAGATCCGGTGATCTTGTCTGTCATCGTCTTTTTTTTTCTTTTTTTCTTTTCTTTTTTTTTTTTTGATTCCTCTTCTTTTCTTTCTTTCTTTCTTTCTTCCTTTTTACTTCTTCTTCTTCTTCGACGGGCTGGATGGTCTTTGCTGCCGCCCTTCATTTCCTTTCTTGTCCATTCCCCCCCCCAAAGAGACTCATCTTTCTGTCTCTCCCTCTTTGACAAGATGGCTAACCCAAATAAGAGGCCCTTATCTCCAACAATCGCTCAATCTCTCCCATATTCCACCAAACAGCCTCCGAGAAAACAGCGCTCGAGGAAGCCACCGATCTTGGAACATAGTAATAATAATCACACTCCCGGTCGCAGAACCGGTGCTCCCCAGGTAAATCATATATCAGCATCTGCACCTCCGACTGCCACGCTTCCCGAAAGCCATCAGCCGTTTGCTGTTTCCGTTATTACGTCCTTAATGTCTGGATTCACAGCGAAATCAACATTTAGAGATGGACCCTGGCGGGACTCGACCCTGGGAACAAGGACAATCACGGGTATCGCGCCGGTGGCAGTGGGCCCCAACAGAACACAGAACACAAGCCTGATGACGATGTCGACGGTACCTCCCGCCATGTCGAGGAGTTTTGGTAGATTCGATGGCCTAGCTCCACCATCTCTGTCGTCGTCGTCGTCGTTATCATCGCCATCGTCAAGGCAGATCGAAGACCATCCGCCAATCGCTCCCCCGTTGCTATCGCGCGAAAGCATGTCAACGGCTTCGGAATCAACCGACTCTTCTCCCACAACCACCAGTTCGACTTTTGACTCTCCCATCATCGTCGAGACCTCTCCAGATTCTTCTCCAGAGTCACCAAGCTCCATCATGCCCTTACCATCGCTCAAATCGAGCCACCAGGACCAAGGATCCGTGAATCAGTCATTCCTACGACCGATGTCTCCGAATGCGAATCCCGGTCCAACGGAGTCCTCCAACCGGCGGGCCAAGAATCTAAAGAACCTGTCGCTTCGATTGCCAGCCTCGCCTTTCCGTCCTCCACTCTCCACCGCCCCGATCGCCGAATCTGGTCGCCATCTCTCAGAACCATCATCACCGGTACGGCCCCATTCCAGGGGATCCAAGCGCCGTCCACCTAATCTGACGATTCAGACTCCTGGTTTCCAGCGCCCGTACTCTTCCAACGGAACGCGGGTGGTGCCACCAACACCCAGCGTCAGGCCTACCCTCCGACATATTGAATCTTCACCATCACTCAATTCCATACTGTCGCCTACTCACACAAATCCTATGATGCCTGCTCCCTTTCCTTCGAAACCGTTTTCATTGGGGACGTGGTGCGATGCCGACCTGGGTAAAGCCTCAAATCAGACTAACTTTAATCCTAATGAACCCCTAATTGAGTTTGGAGAAGAGGATGACTGCCCCATTTCCCGGGAGTCGAGAAAGGGCAGTGAAAGAGGCTACCCAGATGGCCCAATACGTATCTATGACTCCGGACTTTGGCTCTATCTGGAACCTAATCAGGAGGAGGCCTCAAAATTTGATGTCGTCTTCAACGTCGCTAAAGAAGTGAACAATCCGTTCAGCACGGACGGGCCGAAACATGACACCGTGATGTCTGTCTGGAAGGCTACTCTTGCCCAGTCAAACGCAGCTTTGCGAGGGGAGGATCCCGATACCGCTTGTTCAGAGCTGTCGTTCAAATCCGCCCTGGAATCTCTATCCGACGAATGTCCGCCAACCCCCAAAGCCAACCGACCGGAACCAGAGTATATCCATGTCCCGTGGGATCACAATTCCGAAATTCTGGACGACTTGTTTCCTCTCTGCGAAATCATCGATAACAGGATCTCCAAGGGCAAGCGGGTTTTGATTCACTGTCAATTGGGAGTAAGCCGGTCAGCCTCGCTCGTGATAGCGTACGGGCTCTACAAGAACACCCATCTGGACTTCAACGCGGTATACGGCATGGTAAAAGAGAGAAGTTGTTGGGTCGGACCAAACATGAGCTTGATCTACCAGCTTACCGATTTTCGAACAAAAATTCGGGGCGGGACCATCACGAGATCTCCCGCAGACTACAATGAAGCCATGAGCACTGCCCAAAGTCCACACATTCAGACCACAGATATCGAAAGAGAAACTGCCCATTCGAAAGCGGCGGCTTCCACCCCAAACAACGGAAAGCCTGTGGTGGATCCTTCGAAACTGTTCACCCAGGTCAACCCGTTCAGCCCGGATACCTCTTCTAACCGAGTTCGAAGACATATAACGCCGCGACCTCTACCGTTGAGAGAAAAATTTCACACCATTCACTCTCTACGCAATTCACCCTGCCACGATGGACCTACCGCCACGACCACAACGACGACCACAACCACCTTTCAGCGTCCTTCGGTACGGTCCGCTCTGCAAATGGACCTTGTCATGCAGGACGTACCACCAAGTCCGTCGTTCTTTTCCCCTAAAGCCAGTGAATTTATCGCAGCACCCTTCCCGCGGTCAAAGGCTGGTGATATTACCTTTGAGAAATTCGCCAACCTTCAGTCACCGAATCTCGTTCGCCGCCCTAGCATGAATGATCCCAGGTCACCGCAAAGAAGAGCGGAGCCGATTATCATGAGAAGCATTGACGAATTTCTTTGACCTTTTTTTTTTAAAAAAAAACAAAACTTTATCTTATTTTATTTCCCTTCTTCGTTTGGATTCTCATTTCTTAATCCAAACTCGGTAGATCTTATCCGGTACAAAAGATGACGTTTTCAGACGGACCAAGAGTTTACCTACCAAACCCTCCCTTTTTTGGGATATTTTTGAGGATTTTATGAGGGTGCTTCGGGAAGAGCGACCATACTCTGTGGTTCTTTTTTTTTTTTTTTTTTTTTCAATTATTGTTTGTTGATCGGAAATGGTTCTACGGCCAAAGCGGGCTTTGTTGCTGTTTCTTCTCCCGCCCTCCTATTACAGCTAGCAGGAGGGGAGCGCGTGTGTCTTTATGTAGGCACGCCGCTATTTTGTGTGTACGATTCTCATTCATGCCATTTCCAATTTTTTTTTATTTTTATTTTTATTTTTTTTTTTTTCCTGCAGTTTTTCGGCTATGCCCCGTTTTACACCATCTGCATTGGGGGCTAGAATTCCTGCTTTATTCCACCATGAGCCTTTGTTTGATTGGTTTTTCTTTCTGCCCCTGCAAATTCATCCCTGGCATTGGCGTTGGCGTGGGAAAGGGTTCTCTCTCTCTTTTTTCTTTTTTTTTAAAAAAAAAGGATTACATGACATGAGCTCCCGATGATGCTCTATAAATGTAATATTAGTTTTTCTTTTCCCTTTTTTTGTTGGGTTGGGTCCCCCTTGATACGGCGGGGTGTCATCTTTGTGTTTTTATATTCTCCTGTGTCTGGCTTGCTTCCCTGCGAAAGGTTCCTCTCAATGTTTTATGCATGGCGGGGAGTTTTTGTGGAAGGGAAAGCATGGTGAAGATGAGCGGACGAATTTAAAACCCCTGCCCCTTTTTTCTCTCTATTTATTATTTTGACTTTTGTTTTCGATGCGCTTTGGGCGCGGTGGGAGAAGTGCAGGGGGGAAACAAAAAAAGGGAAATATGCAGGCACAGAGAATCTTTTTAGAGTGAATGGAAAATTAATGATAAACTTATGGCTCATTTTTTTGGTCTCAATCTAATATCTCTCATAACTTAGTATGTAGTTCCTGGGGGATGTGCTTGTACGGTGCAAGAAGAGACTTGCTGCTCTGTTCTCAACCTGCTCCGCCATCTCATTGTTCCTCAGTGGTCAGCAACTTGACGGGAGGCACACCCAATCCTGACACTTTAGAAGTGACATCAAGACAGCGCATGGGTATGTTGGCAGCTAAGCTTTTCTCCCATTGCACCTTATGTAGTTGACGGAGGCGGGAGTTTTGTATGCGGCAGAAGTTTATTGCTGGTGGAGCTGTATGTACTTCTACCCCTCCTCTTCTGCCATGTTAAAAATAAAAAAAATAAAAACAAAAATTAACCTAGGAACTAGTCTGTCTTACCGCCAAAATCCCCACCACTGCTCAACGGCAAACAACATCAGAAAGGATGGCTTCCACCACAGAGCTCACGCAGAGCGATGATCACCCGCCGCACTTGGATCCGAGCGAACTGGGCACGAAGCAATAGTAAGCAATTCCCCCGCGCAAAGGAAAAAAAAAAAAAAAAAAAAAAAAAAAGGCCCATCCGCATACGGAGTACTTTGCCCTGTTTTGTTATTGTGTTTGCTTAATCACCGCTGTAGCTGGGAGTCATACTACGAACGCTCGTTGGAGCATTTGTCCTCGAAGCAGCGCGGGAGTCGGACGGCTGGAGATGCGGACGCCAGCAGCGATAACAACGACGACGACGACGACGATGATGACGATCCGGGTACGTCCTGGTTTACCGAGCACAATGCGCCGGAGAAAGTGTTGCGGTTCTTGACGGCGGAAGGGTTCCCGCTTGCGCCCTGCAACACGAGCGGGCGGGAGCAGCCGAGGATATTGGATCTGGGGACCGGGAATGGGAGTATGCTGACGTTGCTGAGGGAGGAAGGGGGGTTTCTCGGGGATATGGTCGGGGTGGATTACTCGGAGAGGAGTGTGGAGCTGGCGAGGAGGTTGGCCGGGGGTGATGGTGGTGGCCAGGGGCGGCGGATCCGGTTTGAGGTGTGGGATATACTCGCTGCTGGCGAGGGTGATGATGATGATAATGATGGTAGTGGTGGTGGTAATAATGGACTGGACGGCTTGGAGTGGTTTCCTGCGGCGGAGGGCGGGTTTGATATCGTGCTGGATAAGGGTACATTCGATGCCGTGTCGTTGTCCGGGGAGGAGATTGTCGAGGGCGAGAGGAAGGTGGTGAGGCGGGTGTGCGAGATGTATCCGCGGGTTACGAGGCGGTTGGTGAAGAAGGGCGGGTTCTTGGTGGTGACAAGCTGCAATTGGACGGAGGACGAGCTGGTGAGATGGTTCACGCGGGCTGATGGCCGTGACGGGGGAGATGCGCTGGAGGTCTGGGGCAAGGTCGAGTATCCCAAGTTCAGATTTGGCGGAATGGAAGGACAGGGGGTGTGCACGGTTTGCTTTCAGAGGAAGAGAGGGCAGTAAGAGCCCGTCTGGTGAGTGTGGTGGTTCTCTTGCTTGGACTGCAAGATGATCTTTGATTGCGGGTTTGGCTGACGGTTGGAAGAAAAAGACAGGATATCTACATATCTAGTTACCCACTGTCGGTGGCCTTCACCTCCTTAAGGTCGACATCATTTCTCTCAATTCTTCTTTCTCAGCAGCGCCACGACACACCACCTTGCTCGATTCTCCGGGCCTTCGCCCTCTCTGACCGGCCGCCATTCCCGCGTCACCTCGCCCATCTCGCTCGTCGCATTGACGTCCCTCTCATAGATCTTCTCCACAACCAACCCCATCGACACGGCCGTCTCGAAAAACGAAGCCACGATCTCTCTGCCGGTATGAAAGCCAGCAACCACCCATGCCACGCCCGCTTCTTCACCCCTGTCCTCCACAGGCCCAGCGGTTGACCCCTGTTCGGTCTTCACCGGCGCTTTCAGGAACCACAGCAAAGACCTGACCAGATTCTCATGCTGATCCCTCATCCACAGACAATCCGCGCAGATGATGCGCGTGAAAGCGCCCTTGTTATCCGCTGCGAATCTGATCACGTTCCCATCTCCGTCTTCTGCGGGGTTTTCACGTCCACTGCTCTGATTTTCGAAGAAAACACCCCACTCGTGTGGGTGGACAGATATCCGTTCTCGGATCGTCCGTTCGGGGATGTTATGTGCGATTCCTGACTGCACGGCGCCGGCTAGTGCGGCGGAGGAAGGGTGGTCGGTTATGCATACCGTCTCGGCGCCGGCGAGCGCGGCGATCAAGGACGGAAGCGCGGTGCCTGCGGTGAGAGAGTTACGGTTGAGCTAGATGATTTGAAGCCACGCCAAAAAGCAATGCAATGGGGGAACAGCGTCTGGAAAGGCGTTCGCTATGTGATGTTTTGGCTTTTCTTTCCCCCCCGGTCAATCCATCGCGTTACTAGATGGACTGTATTATTCTTTGCGCTTGGCTGTGTTCCTGACCGGACAGGGCATCGCGCCGGTTTCAAGCAACAAAGAATGTGGTTACGGGAGAAGATGGCTATCCTCCTTGCGGATGGATATTATTTAAAACGGCAAGATATACCCCGATGCCATGTACATAGATCAGACTGGAGAGGTCGAGACAACGAGGACATCTCTCCAGAAAAACCTACCTACATACATATACACATATCGCCAGGCAAAAAAAAATAAAATAAAATAAAAATAAAAATAAAAAAAAAAAGGAAAAAAACTGGGTAGAATAAAGGGGAGAAGCACCCAACCATAATGAAAAAGAGAAAACATAAAAAGTCCAATCCGAACTTGGTTATCATTGTCACTCACCAGCGCCAACCTCCAACACCTTCTGTCCTCTCACACCCCACCGCCTCACGAGTTCGTTCTCCTCCTCTCGCGTTCTCCCGCCGCCGACCCTCCTCAGCCTCTCCGCCTCCTCAATCCGCTCCGCAACCACCAGCGCCCCTCCCCACAGGTAATGCGCAAACAGCCTGCGACCGGCCTCTACGCCAGCATCCTCCTCCTCCCCTTCCCGCTCCCGCGCAGTAGTACCTTTTTGATCCTCTGTCTCTTCTTTTCCTTCTTCTTCTTCTTCTTCTTCTTTTTTTTCTGCTATCTTACATCCATAATCAGGAACAACAACGCGAACGCCGCCGAAGAGCGGGGACGTGTACAGGAGTGTCTGGCCCGGGTTGCCGAGGCAGGGGGGCGCTTCATCTGGGTAGAGATGGGGGAGGAAAGAGGAGAGGAGGTCTTCAGCGTCGTTGGGATCGGTGGTGTTGGGGTCGATGGTGGGCTGCAGGGAGGATGAAGATGTTGGCGTTAGTGTTGGTGGTGGTGGCGGGGTGGAAGGGCGGCGGAGGGGTTGGATGCGCGAGGGCAGCATTGGGCGGGTGGTGGAGGGGTTTTTGATGGTGGTAATGGGATTGAGTGGGAAAAGGAGAGATAGGTAAAAGGGGCAAATTTGATATTGGGATTTTTTTTGTTAGAAGATGATGATGGCGGAGAGCGTGAATTGTGGGAGAGGCTTTGCAAAGAGTCCCCCTTTTTTTTTTTTTTTTTTAATTTTTAATTTTCCGCCCTCAGTGGGAGTGACATCAGGGCGGTTGGATGTTCTTCATACCTGATCGATGGCGTTCAAGCCGCCTTCATCACTGGTTTTTTTCTTTTCTTTTCTTTTCTTTTCTTTTCTTTTCTTTTCTTTTTTTTTTTTTCAATGTCGGACAGCTCGAGCATTACATCTACTTCGAGACGACTGAGAAGGATTCTATCCGTGAGCAAGCGTCACAGCCCAGTCACCTATGTATCGCCCACATCTGGCCAACATAAACTAAACCAACCACCACACCAATCACATGTCACAATTCCGATAAATAATCCGCAAACAGTTGCGCTGTGCTCTCCACTCTACAAGCCGAGAATTCCATCCGCAGCGTCCAAGAAAAGGCCATGTTCTCCGCAGGCAGGGAAGCTACATATGTATGTACGCTCGCCTGCAGGGATGGACAGGCGGTGGGACGAATATAGGTCGGGATTTCTTTTGCCGTTGGAAGGATCATCTTGCTTGCGAAGGGAATATACCATATAATTAGCTCTTGTTTAGCAGTTAAAGGGGAAGGGAAGGAAAAAAAAAAAAAAAAAAAAAAAAGAAAAAGGAAAAAGAAAAGAGGAACGGTGTACGGAGTAGAAGGGCAGCTCAATGGGCTCTGGAATACACGTTGATTAGGAACTACCTCAAAAGAACACAGATGTTGACCTTTCAAATTTATTGTTCTCCTTTTTTTTTTTTTGTTTTTTTTTTTTTGCGGAGAATTAAACGGAAGCTCGAGCTAAATACTCCGTAAATCGAACCACCTTTAAGAGCACTCTATTATCGCTGTTACTATGCAAGGATCATGAGGAGTCCCGATGCTACCTCCAGCGCATGTCGCTAAGGCAGAAGGCCCTGCAAAGTTCACCCCCCACAAGGAATCTTATCAGTGCCAATGCGAGGCGCAACATTACCAACCTACCTCTAAGCGGGAGAGCGTTCCATCGTTCCATCCAGTCGGGCTCTCGAGAGCCCCCCCGGGGGGGGGGGGGGGGGGGCGGAACCATCTGATTGTATTAAATTGACGCTCCCGCGGTCCCCTTCTCGTTCAAGCGGCTGCCGGGAGAGACCTAATCTGTGGACTGTGTTTTCGGGGGACAAGAGGATCTTCATATCTCTCGCCTTTCTCTTTCTCGATACTATAGATCCTAGGTTGTTCCTTTTCTTCTTTCTTTTCTTCTTCCCTTTCACAGGAATTGAGACGGGCATCATGACGGCGGCCGAGTCTGCACCGGCTCTTCCCGACTATGTGTTGGATCCCGATGCCGTGCTGAAGGACAAAGTTTCCTGGCGCTACGGAAGGGCCCCTGATTATTCAAAGACGAGAAAGGTGTACGAAGAAGGTACCATCCCACTTCCACCTTTTCACCAGGCCCTGGCCCGTCTAAAGCCAGCCAAAAAACCCAATCACAGGGAAAACCCGCAACCACGAACCGCGCAGCCTCCCCGACCTCGTCGAAAACCTGGTGAAGAACTGGGAGATCGAAGCGTCGTTCAAGACCAAGCTGGAGGAGTGGCGTACGGTGGACGGTAGCTGCTACAGGTTCTCGCTGAACGGCGGGCCGGCGCAGGATGGGAACCACATGTTGCGGGTGGGCACGTACAATGCGCTCATACCGTCGAATCAGTATTACGACCCTGAGCGGCTGGACTTTGCGACGAGCCACAAGGCGTTCAAGCGGATGATGCCGACGTTTGCGTGGGAGGTGCTGGAGGTATACAGCGGGCCGCCGACGGTGACGTTTAAATGGAGGCACTGGGGACAGATGGCCAATGATTATGTGGGAATGAACGAGTATAAAACCCCGTCCTTTTCCTTCATTCACTCTCTTCTTTCTTTTCTTTCTTTTTCTTTTCTTTTCCTTCATTCACTATCTTCTTTCTTTCTTTCTTTTTCTTTTCTTTTCCTGTTTTTTCCTTTTCCTTTTCCTTTTTATTTTTATTTTTATTTTTATTTTTATTTTTATTTTTTTTTTTTTTGGGAGCAAAGGTCCTAGAGAATTTTGTTAAGAGGAGAACAGGATTTTTACTTACCAATGAGAAATTGTACAGCAAGGGCGACAAGGTCACGGTCAAGGCGCACGGCGGGATGATCGACATCCAGGGGATGCTCATCGCCAGGGTCAACGACAAGCTCCAGATCGAGTCGATCGAGGTCTGGTTTGACCCGCTGGAGATGTTCCGGCAGATCGCGAAGCACAGCGACGCGGTGATCACCAGTCCGATGGCGGAAGGGGGAGAGCAGGGGGAGAGCGAGATGCGGTGTCCAGTGGCACATTGATTGTGGGAGGAAAAAAGAAAAATAAATAAATAAAAAAAAAAAAAAAAAGATACAGAGTTACATATGTATTATTTATTTATTTTTTATTTGGGAGAATGACGAAATGGAAGGGGAAGTCTGACATTCGAATTTGACATCAAAATTCCCACCACCCCCCCCACAAGTTGCATCACAGAGTTCCGGGCTCGGGAGAGGGTATCAACGCCTTTTGTGGATGAAGAAAGAGTCAAGAGAGTTCGACGTACGGAGCCTGCCCAAGTGAACTGGGGCCATGACGGTGTTCTGCGACCTGATACCGTCATTTGGGCATAATTTTGTCAGGATGGAGAGTTGTGTGCTTTTTTGGGGCGTGGGACGGTGGAGACGGCGAGCCCACTTGTAGTGTCATTGAGGAGAGTTGAGGATAGTTGTTCGCCTCTTCTTTTTCTTTTTTTTTTTTTTTCTAATTTTTTTCTGGATGGATGGAAATATCCTGACGCACAGTCTGCTGACCAAGAAAACAGAGGCCCTGGCCCGGCGTTTGACTGTCTCAGTCAGTTGCAAGACAGACGGCACCAGGCGAGGGTGGCGATGGACTGGCCGGACGGCCAGAGTGAGTGGGCGCACAGGGGAGTGGAGATCGCATGATGGAGACGGGGAGAGAGAGAGAGAGGAGAGAAGCAAGCAAGATCAGTACCAGCATCGGCATCAGCATCAAGGCCAGGACGAGGACGAAGAGACCATCACCCACCGTCAGTCAGTCACCATCGTCAGTCACCATCGTCTGTCACCATCGTCTGTCACATCGTCTGTCACCCATCGTCTGTGGTTGTCGCTGTCGCTGTCGTCTGTCGTCTGTCGTCTGTCTGTCACTGGATGCTGAATTGCTGAATTGCTTCTAGTCAGGCACACGGTGGGAACCCTAAACCCGGGCTAAGGTAACTGCCACGCGCCAACCCGGCCCTACTGCCACGGCTGCCCTGTTCATTCTTCTATTTTTTTTTTTTTTTTTTCTTTTTTCTTTTTTCCTCCCCGCAAAAAGACTTGAAAAAGAAAATATTGAAGAAAATATTCCCGTAGAAAAATAGAAATTAAAAAAAAATATCACTTGCAGCTGACGATCAGCGAGCCCGATCCCACTGTTTCGCCACTCGAGAAATAATCTCTTACCGATTAGTTAGTTACTAGCTAAGCGACTATGTACGACTCGTAGCAGATATTTAGAAACCGTTTTTCCTCATATATATATATATTTTTTTTCTTCCCTTGGTGTTCTCTCTGTTGATTTGGATGAAACGTCTCGACTATTAGTTATAGGAGAATTTCAAATTCCTGGGATGAATTTGTCTGTGCTAAATTAAGCAACTTTCTGGCTTTTTCGTCCTTCAACTCTCTTTTTTGCTCTTCCCGCCCAACTTACTTTCATCCCCTCTCCTTTTTTTCTTTTTTTTTTTTTTTTTGCTTTCGCTCTCGGTCTGGAATTGGGGTCTTTTAATCCGACTGTGATTCGCCCTCCCACCGCGCGGCCAACCCACACGGCCCCATCAGCGTAGCTCCACGCACAGTCCCCTGGCCCGGCTTTGCTCTCCCTCTGGCTGTCTGTCTTTCTCTCTGCTGCTCAACTTGAACTTTGCTGCTTGTTTCTTCACTTTTATCCTGCTTGTTCTTCTTGTCCTTTTCATCCTTCTGCCGTCGTCGAAATCCTCATCCTCCCTCTCTTGCCCCCCCTTTCTCTCCTGACATGTCTGATCAGCACATTCTCTCTGCCCGTCTGTTCATTGTCAATTCGCCTTCCCTTTGATTCCCCGTCCTTGGTTGCATGGGCGGCCGCTGCACCTCCACTCCTCTCCTCTCTCTCCCTCTCTCTCGCTCTCTCTCTTCTTCTTCTCTCACATTCACTCACTTCACTCACCTCTCTCTTACTCCCCTCTCCACTCCCACAATTATCCTCCCCAACTCTACATTCCTCTCTAAACAATGACATCCTTCAAGGTACGCCTCTCTCCCTCTCTCTCCCTCCCCGTTTATCCACGGCCACCGCCGCCCTCTTCCAGAAAATCCACCGAGCACGAACGTATGAAAGTTGTTGGTTAAACCCCCGACTGATCGCTCCGCAGGATGCCTCCAATGCCCGACCCTTTGGCCAGTCCTCCACTCCTCACACCCGCCAGTCCTCCGGCCGTCTCCATTCCCACTCCATATCCCTCGGCGTCGTCAACACAAACCACCGTGTCACCCGCAGGAAGAGCATGACTTCCACCGCAAACGTCGCTGCCGTCGCTGCTGCCCTCGGCGGCTCCCCTGCCTCCCAGAACCCACTGCCCACCACCTCCTACCACCGTCGAGGCCTGAGTTCGCGAAAAGTCGGCCTCGAATCCACCTCCATGGGCTCCTCCTCGTCCGCCCTCGGCTCGTACATCGCCCAGCAACGGAAGAACTTGCCCAATTCCGCCGTCACCACCGCCGGCAATAATACCAACAACACCACCACCACCACCAACAACAACAACAACAACAACAACAACAACAACAACAACAACAACAACATCAACATCAACATCAACAGTAATAATAATCAAAGCGGAGAGGAAACGTCATCCACGAGTCGACCGATCAGCACCAAACACCGCAGCCGTCGAGCCAGCGAGGGCTCACATCTCATCAGAGGCGAGGGAAAACGGTCCTTGACTGAGCTGAAGTGTGATCGGTGTGGGAAAGGGTATAAGCATAGCAGTTGCTTAACAAAGCATATGTGCGTATACCTCAATCGATGCCCATCCAATCTTCCCAGCAGCCTCCCCTCCCAGCAGCTTCCCCTCCCAACAAAACCCAAAAAAAAAAAAAAAAAAAAAAAAAAAAAAAAAAATCATCATCTTTTGGATGGGAGAGATTGTATCTCTCATGGGCGCTTCACACTCCATTCATTCACGGCACCTCTCTCTCTCTTTTTCTCTCTCTCCCACCTCCGGCTCTGCTGTGTGTTGCTGTCCATGAAATGGTTCCCTGTCAGCCTGCCACCGCCCACCCATTCACTCCCTCCCACTGCCCTTCCTTCATTCAGACCGCGATCCTTTCCAATGTCTGGGCCACTTCGTTGACACTCCTGGAACAGGTGGGAACATGACCCCGCGTGGGCCTATACCTCTAAGCTGCTCATCTCCAAACATCAGCAGGTCCAGCTCCTCGAAGCTGCGACCGTCCTGGTGAACATGAACCAAGAGCCCACCCCGTCGGACCATGCCCGCTCCGGCGACTCCGACCGTTCCTCCGCCTCCCCAACCGCCTCGGGAATATCAGAATTACGCGATGAATTGAGTTCAACAGAGACCACACCTCCACCGGCGGGTGACGAATCCATGACCAAACTGGGAGACCACCACCGTTTTGGTTCTTCTGCCTTCTCTCGCTCGTTCCAGTCCATGCCGTCGAGCTCCTTCGCCGGAAGCGCTCCATCATACTCCCCCGCCCGATCCCACTTCCGCCAGTCCAGCATAGACACTCGGCCCTCAACCGCTGGTACCGGTGTTCTGGATGACGACGAGGCCGGTCTAGCAGCCGCCATCGAACTATGCAACTTTGGCACCCCACGGACCGGTGCCAACGCCATGTCCTCTGACGTCCCTCCGGTGCCTCCACTGCCAGCTCGCTACCTGAGCCAGAGCATGAATAACAGCTCCCACGCTGGCGGCAGCGCACACAACGCCGCGCGAAGCTTCGACGTTCGAAGCACAACCTCTAAAGACGCGTCCTCCACGCCCACCATGTTCAATCCCTTCCTTATCAACCCCCCGCTCTCATACAAGATCTCAGACGAACGAGACGTAAAAATGGGCGATGTCAAACCGATCCACGAAGAAGACCACAATTTCGATCGAGATTCTGTCGTTCCCATGGATGAAGATGATGACGGGGTCTTTGGCAAGATGGAGGAATGAATGGGCAAACTCATATACACATATATATATATATGACCTACACCTCCTTTCCCAGTCAAGGCATTTTGATTTTTTTTTTTTTTTTTGTTTTTGTGTCCCGTTTTTGTCTTTTGCGTTTTGGTTTTCTTTCTATCAGCTCTGACGACATGATCGATGTTTCAAGATGGGGGCACAGCGGCGATCCATCACGATCGACATCGCTTGTCATCAAGCAACTCTGGGGAACACGGAGACCGCCATACCCACTGGTTATTATCTCGCACAACGCCTTGACTGGATAATGATGCTTGGCTTTTTTTTTTTTTTTTTTTATTTTCGAATATTTTTGCGCCTTTTCTTTTATTTTCTCTCCCTACGGCCACACCGTTTTTGAGTGCTAAGCTGTCGTCGCGCTTCCTGATTCCCTAGTAAACTTTGCTTTACCAACTATACGATGTACAATGAAACGAATTTATACACCTTTTTTTTTTTTTTTTCTCTTTTTCTCTTTTTTCTTTTTTGGAGACCCCTTAGCTTTGAGCATTTACGCATGTTTCTTTTGGGCCGTTTCTACTGTGCGAGTTCCGAGGAATGAGAATTTTTGAGGAGATTCGAACGATGTGGTTCAGTAAACCCCTCTTGGGGACTGATAAATATTTGTGAAGAAAAAAGAATCAAAAGACAAACCCACTTTTTTTTTTTCTTTTTTCTTTTTTTTTTTTTTGGGAGGGGGATATTTAATAAGCAAATGGGGACCAAATGGCCCTGAAGAAACAAAATAAAATAAAATAAAATAGGGGACAAAACACGGGTTGTTAAAAAGTTGCCCCTCTGGAAACATGATTCGAGACAAACCAGGAACAGAAACCAAGGAAAAAAGGGACGGGTATCGAAACGTCGCATAAAACAAAGCCCAGCCACGACGAGAACAACATGAGTAGAGCATGCTTTTGAGAGGGAAAAATTGGGAAAAAAAAAAAAAAAGGTACTCTGCACTCCGCACAAAAAGAAGAATACGGAGAGGCCCATCCCGACAACATCAAAGCCACACCCCATGCATAACTGAACATGCATAGATCGCGACAAGACCACCAAAGCATGCGCGAACCATACACATCCACCACCCAAGCAAACCATTTCCCCCCCGTATTGTAAATAATGAGGGCGAAGCGCTTTTTAAAGTCGCAGCCCCGTAGACAACACTCAGCAACCGGATCAAACACCACCAGTGACAAGCCTTAGGCCGAAGCCTTTTCGATATCGATCCCTCGATGGGGAATTATGTTCCCGAGGACCCAATACCCATCCCCTCTTCTTAAAACAACCGTCAAAAAACATTTCAGGGCGCCGAAGGCTCTTTATCTTTTCTCTCTTATAATCGAATCACCCCTTCGAAAGTGGGAGGAGGAACGTAACTTAGACCGTAGGGCATCTTCTTCGAACCCTCTCACAAAACCGGATTCGTAAAATCACCGTAGGTATGTACTCTTAAGGCTTTCGAGGCTTTTCTGTAATCGATCCCTTCGCAGTGGATTTAAAAGAAAACACGAAGGAAAATAAAAGGAAGAGGAGGAGGAGGAGTCAAGGGGAGCGCAAATCCGTAATATCCATCGATATTTTGTTTTTCAGCGCAACCGTTATCTCACAAGCACCAGTTTCCATTCTCAAAGGGTATATCGGTTGACGCAGCGAGCTTCGACCAGACTTCTCTGATTGAAGAAAACGTAAATATCAGTGTATCCTTCATGCCATCTGGGTATTTTATCCGGAGATGTGCCTCTTACCTTAAAAGACTCATTCCTAAAAGAACAAAGGATCACGCAAGCATATTCAAGATGGTTAAACCTCCATTAAGGAGCTCCCGATTGATAAGAACAACGGAAGAAAAAAAATAAGAAGTAGAAGAAGAAGAAGGGGGAAAAAAAAAAATATAGACTTAGAAGTATAAGAAAAGACTCGAAAGAAAAAGGAAGGACGGAAAAAAAAAAAAAAAAAGAGCCAAAAGGATAACAACAAAGATCTTCTCTATAAAAACCCCGGACAAGCAACCCGCCCACCTACGCATCAACACACACTTGGTGTCAACGACATCTCCTAGACCCCCACGGTCGGAAGAGGGGAAAAAAAGAGAAATCTCGAAGCAGCAGACGGATACAAAACCAAGGGAAAACAGGAACCCAAAAGGCCCTTTCTCCACGGTCGATTTCGTTCCTCTGAAAGCTCCCTGACTTTCTTCTTCTTCTTCTTTCCTATCGTGGAGGCGTCGGAGAAGTCGTCGATACCAGTGAAGTAGAAGACTTGTGAGTGTTGCTAGGAGTTACTCAACCGTCGACGTTTTTTTTTGCGGAAGGTCTTTTATGTGTTTTTCCCTTTGGTCGTTCTTGTTCTCTTTCCCTTCTTGGCTCTTTTCTTGTCTTTTCTCGTTTCTCCTATCATTCCATCAGGTCTGAACCTCTTTTTCTTTTTCTTTTTCCTTTTTGGAGACGGATTCATTTTGCTTTGCTGTTCGTGTGGAGAAAGGGGTTGTGGGATGGTAATTTAGAGGGAGGATGCGTGATAAGGAGAAGGGAGGGGTTTGCGAGAAGTTTGGCTGGATTCAGACCGTCGGGGGGATTTCAACCTTCTGTTGTCCTTGTCTCTTGTCTCCGTCACGAATTTTTGTCTTGAGAGAGATAAGCCGGTTGGTAGGTAGGCTGAGATAAAGCGATGTCGGTCAAAAAACCTGCCTGAGCAGTGTCGAAAGGAGGTAAGAAGGGTAACTATGGCAAGCCGATACGACATGGCGCGAGACGACATCGGTAAGACAAGACATAGGAGATAAGGATGCGACAGTTGTCACCAGAGTAAAAAATTCGTGTTTCGTTTATTTGTTTCTTTAGTCAAGAAGGTGGAAAGAGCCCCAGGTTAAATCACCGTAGGTAGCCCAGAAAGCATGGAAAGAGGAGCGCAGGGGGGAAGCGGACACGAAACCGAAAACACCGGACGACGGCTTTCAAGACTGGCCCGCTGAGGTAGAAGAAACACGGATCTGCTCCTCAGCTTTGCGGATAGCCTCGTCTTGGGCGTCGAGCAGGCGTGCTCGAGCCCGCCGTCGGCGGGTCTTTTTGGACGGTCGGTTTCGTGAGGATGTCTTTGCCGGGCCCGCTTCGCCAGCCTCCCCAAGGGACTCAGTTTGCGGCCCGTCTTTCTGCCGCTCCTCTTTAGGCAGCATAGCCTCGTTGCCGTTGCCGTTGCTGTTGCTGCCGTTGTCGTTGTCGTTGCCGCTTCCTGGGACGGTGACGGTGACGGCGACGGCGGACTCTGGTGGGGAGTTGGGCTCCTCCACGGTTGTTGCTGGTACCTCCACTGGAGCCTCGGAGGGTTCTTGTCGCTGTTCTTCAACTGGTGGAACAGCATGCGAGAGCTCCTTGGAGGATACCACCGCTGGAGGACCAACTGGTTCCTCTGGGACAGGGGCCGAGTCTGTTGTTGTTGAAAGGGTAGACTCGGCACTCGACGCCATTACACCCTGGGGTTGCGCCGGAGGGTAGAGTTGCTGCTGGGCCCGCAGCGTCGCCCAGAAGTGACGGTCGAGCTCCTGGAGAACAAAGGGGTTAAAAGTCAGCCCTCCGGAGAGAGCTGGCTTCTCCCGTTGCTCCACCAAGGGTTGTCCTTCCGTTCCCTCTGGGGTTGACTTTGGGACGATTATGACTGGAACAACTCCGCGCAAGGGTTTGTCAGTGTATGGAACGAGTTCCCAGTCTGTATAGCGATTACCATCAGCGTTGGTGGATGACTCCACAGGAGAATCTTCAACCAAGCTTTCGGTGCTCATTGAAGGCAAAGCCGACAAACCGATAAAGTCAGCCACAGAGTCCAGCCCCGTAGTAAACCCTACAGTGAGGTCACCGGAACTGGCTCGGACAGCGACAGACACACGGCGTCGATCCACCTTCGAGCGGCTACCCAGGTTCGAGGTCAATTCCTCCGCTTGGAAGAGCACGAAGCTCAGTCCGCTGACCAAGGAGGACACCAAAGCCACAACGATGCAGATGACTTGACCCCACTTGAAGCCGAAGTCGGTACGAGAGGTGATGGCGGGCGACTCGCTCTCCACGCGGACAACACGAGACGGGACGGGAAGGGTACGAGTCGGGTTGGGGACAGGGGCCACCTGCATCGCTGCCGAATCCAAATCGAAGTCGTGGAGATAGTGAAGAGAGTGGAGAGCTTCGAGACGAGCTAGTTCGGCCTCCCGAGCAAGTCTGAGCGCGCGTCTGCGCCACGGGAAGACACTGCAAGGGTCTGGGTCAAAAAGCCATACAACCAACTCGATGCCCTCGAGCGTTCCTCTCACCATAAACGCTGGTTTAAAAGTCGATAGGAATCGTCGTCCAAAACTTTCCTGAGGGTGGACGTCGGTATGGGGTATCGGCGCTATCGTTCCCCAGATAGTGAGGACGGAAAAAATGATGGTGAAAAGAAGCATGGTGGTGTCGAAAGAAAAATGTCTGCCTGAGAAGGCGAAGATGGAGAGTGGCGCGGAAAAAGAGGGTAAAGGAGATTTGGTAAAAAAAAGAGTTAATAAATGAAGATTGTTAATGCTTTAGCTCTGGATAAGTAGACGGGATAGGAGACCAAGATGAAGGAGTTTGGTGGTCAAAGTGAATGTGGTGGAAAATGGTGAGGAGAGAGAGAAAGAAAGAAAGAGGAAGAGAGGAGAAAGAAGGAGGACAAAGAGGATTTTACAGTACTGTCGGAGGAACACTTCGGTAATGGAGGCTAACCATGAGACCAGTAAACAAGCTGATGCGAAGTTTCGCCAGACGGTTAGCAGGTAAAGGAAAAGCGCGATGTTGTGTTCGTGCGATCAGGGCAACGAGGCCAGCACAAGCGAGGGAGGGAAGAGTGTGCTGGAAGCGGAGAGTTCCGTGTAATGCAAGGGCTGGCAAGTCCCGGATATCTCTGAGTGCCTTGAGGTGGAGAGGATAGAGGATTGATATGGAGGCCATATAAATCGAAAATTTTCAAGGGACAAAAGAAAAAAAAAAAAGAACAGCGCTTTTTTATATCTTAGACCAGCATTAGTATCAGCGGCAGACCATGCCCCTTGAACGCCCCGTACATAACTGTCGTCAACATGCAGTAGAACCAGAACCAAAACCATACCCTGGTATATAGAAAGCAAAAAGTAGAAGATGCACACCCGAACGTAGACAATGCAGCTCAGTCGATATCCATCTCCTCCTGGGTGCCTCCGTCCACCAGCACTCTTGTCTTCTTCTTGTGCCGCACCTGTTCCTTTCCGACCACGGCATTCTTGACCCTCTGTTCTTCCAGTGGAACGCCTTTCTCCAGCATCTGCAGCTCCTTGCGAATAAGATGCTCTCCCTCGGCGACGACCCTCCGATCCTCCGCTCTCTTCTTCTCCCGGGCAAGCTTTCCCGCCAATCTCCTCTTCGTAAACACGCGCTCCCTTCTCTGCCGAATCTCCTCCACTCGTTCCATGGCCTTGACCGTGGCTGCCACCAGATTCCGGTCGTATTTGACGGGGACGTTGCGCTTCTTGGCGAACTGTGAGAGCACCAGAGAGGAGTCGACGATCATCTCCTTGCCACGAAGAGCACGATGGGTCTTGGTCCACTTCAGCTTACGGGGTTGCCGCTTCATCTTGAAGTTCTTGTGGCATTTGGAGCGGCAGAAGCGGAATGTGCGGGCATCGTTGCGGACAAACGTGATGCCCTTAGACGGGTAGACGGGGCGGGAGCAGAGGTGGCAAGTTTCGACCCTTGGGGGACACCGTGAGCAAGACTTTCGGGATTGATACAATGGGGGAATCGACCTACCGCATGGTTGCTTCGTTGGCCCGGTTTCTGCCTCAAAACACAGCTGTTGCATCCACTTGTCCTAGTGAAGCTGCGGTAAATTTTTCTGATAAACTGACGTTGGAAGTGCCCAGCCTGTGCTAAACCCAATGTGTGACTAGCGCTTCTTTCACTTTGCAGAAAAAAGTTTCGCTCGCTCGCCATCGTCGCCATCAATCATCACCACCACTCCTCTTTGTTCGCTCGTTGATTTCACCGCTGCATTCATTCAAGCATTCCCTCTGAGGTGGCTAGTTCCTGCTACGTTTTAGATTTCAACAGTTTAACCACATTTCACCACCATGACATCTGTTGTTGCAGTGGGCATTGGCGTTGCCGCGGCCGCTTTCTTTGTATGTCCTCCTTCCTCTCCACCTATTCCTCCTTAATGAAGCGAAACAATGCTGACATTTTCCTTCTCCAGGGTCGCGCTGGCCTGGTTGCTCTCCGCCGCTACAGGGGGGGCGTCAATGCTATGGGAAGAGCATTCTACAAGGGAGGCTTTGAACCCCGCATGAACCGTCGCGAAGCCGCTTTGATATTAGAACTCTCGTACGTAGATATTCTCTTCTTCTATTTTCTCTCGATAGAATAACTAGCTAACAGAGTTGTGGGATTTATAGTGAGCGAACCCTTACCAAGGACAAAGTCCGCGCAAACCACCGAAAGCTGATGTTGCTCAACCACCCGGACCGTGGCGGCAGCCCGTACCTCGCGACAAAGATCAACGAGGCGAAGGAGCTTTTGGAGAAGACCTCTTAAGAGAGAACACGAAATAGACCAATAAACACGCAAAGCCAAATACGTCTTTGCGCATGTGGCGTGGGAATCCCTTATAGTCCTAAAGCAGCGAACTGTTCCCCTTTACATCTTGGAATTTTCTCTGGTTTCTGCATAGCACGGCGTTGGTGGATGTTTTAAGATATACATAGATGAAATACGCTTGATTCGGCGGAGTATCTGCGCATCATGGAGACGTCTCCTCTCTTCTTCACGTCGGATACCAATACCTTGCGGGGATCGGATCAGACCTGGGAGCCCGTCCGACCGTGAATGGCTACTTTTTTTGTTTTTATTCTGGAGTGTGCTTGTTCAAGATCTGAGCTTTGCTGGGCTGAACACGAGTGTATATTAAGATTGAAATTTCCCGAACTCACTTCATAATAATATCAGGCCCGCTCTTTGGAGGACATCTATCTTTCGCTAAAGTTGTCTTCCATGCTGCCACGAAACATATATATTCCTTTCTGTTGACGAGAACGATGCGATTTGAACGGTGAGCCCGAAAGCAAGCTAGTAAAGAGCAAAACACATGGAAGCATAATCAGAATAGGATAATATGGTAAAGACTCCCGCGGCTTTTTATCATGAAATACGCTACCCTGCCACAGTCTTGCTCAAATTCCTCCTTATCCGCGTGTCTCCTCCTAAACAAGCCTCTCATAAGGACTTACATGACTCCTCATATTCATCAAACTATCATAAACCGTCAGTCTTCAAGGTAACCATAGAGAAGCCAAATACAGCATTCATCCCTCCCCTTCCCTTGGTCCCGGGAATAACCAACCACCATTATCTTTGGGAGGGGGTGTGGGGGGGGGGAAGGGATCACACTCACAATACACTCCTCAAAGCGGATCCCTGCCTTCAGAACCGTCTCGTAAACCGCCTTCGCAACGCTCACCGGCATCCCCAACCTGACGGCCTCCCGCTTCGCGCGCTCGACGATCTGTTTGTTTCGCGCCGGAACATTGACGGATTCTCGGGTGCGCTTGAAACGGGTGGCTTCTTGGACGTATGCCATCCTGTTGATTTTGAAATTTTTTTTTTTTTTTTAGATGGGAGGTTTGAGAATCGGCCTTGATCTAAAAAGGTGCAAGCAGGGCAGGGCGGGGGTTGGAACGAGGGTTTGTTTTTGTTCAGGGGTCAGAGCAAGGTGTCAAGGGCTGTGATTGGAGGAAACGATGGAATGAGGGTTTTGCAAGGAACAATTACGAGATAAACATATTTTTGTATATAATCTGAGGAAGGAAAAAGGACAAGGAATGTGTTATTACCGGCGATTCAGTAGTTCAAGAAACTGCTTGTCAATCTCGTCGAGTGCCTCGCGAACGCCGTCGAGAGACTCGCAACATGTTGATAGCGTCCCGTTCAGCGATGAGAAGTGGACGCTCGGTGTGCCCCATGGTATCTCTCTCGCCATGGGGTTGGCTCGAAGTGGTGGGAGCTCTTCAGCGTAGCAGGCTTGGACCCTATCCCACCCATTCGGCGAAGCGGCAACGCACCCGAGAAGGGCCAGAGGTAAGTATATGAACAAGCCGAGAATCATCGCTCCGAGACGTGGATTAACAAGACCGGGCCGAATGGATCAGTGATTTTCAAGGATTAGATCTCGCCAAGTGAATAGCGGGACGGTTTTCTCGCCCCTGGAGAATGTAGCGGATGGACGCCGTGATGGACATGGGCAAAATGACAAAGTTGTATCTTTGATAATACTCACCAGCAAACGTGGTTCCACGGATTGCTTGGCTTTGGTCTCAAATCGGAACCTAAACAATGTCTTACATTGGATGGCTTGAACGCCATTGATTTCCAGTGATAGGATGTCTCAAAAATGCATAGATACATACATCCTTGGACCTGTGAGGGACTCGAGTAGACTTTCTTTAGGTAATTATGCATAAATGTATTTTGTAACCATCCAGCGTTCGTCAAACTGCAATTCATGAGTCCTACAACATAGGCAAGACATCAAACAGAAAGGGGGGGAAAAGAAACATATAATGGATAGAATGCAAATGCAGTATCAGAAACATGACAACTCTAAGCATTATGATCTTCATGAAAATCAGCACGCTGGGAGTACGAGAAAAAATATTTTTTAGACAAAGGACTGGGCTGCTTTACCGCATAGCATCCATACCTCCTTGTAACGAGGCTTCAAGATCATTAGGCTGCATCCCCCCATGAATGGCCTCCTGAGGCCGTGGTTCGTCTTGTTTCCAAGATGTTATGTTTTCTTCGGGTATAGGGACACTGGTCTGCTGCGCTGCAGCCTGTTGTCCCGCATTTCCCATTTGAATATGTGGTTGTCGCACATGTGCACGGAATCGCATAACCTCGTCTAAAATCATCTTGCGCATATCATGAACGTCTTCGACAACTTCAAAGTGGAAGTCAAATGTAGTTTTGCAAGTCGGCTCGTCGGATGCGTCATGCCAAATCTGTAAATAAGGGTGTTCAAGAGCTTCTTCGACCGAGATACGGGATGAGGGATCGAACGCCAACATCCGATCAAGTAGGTCCAAAGCTTCTGGGTTCGCATTCGGGAACAATCGTTGAAAAGGAACTTTCTGCATGTATGGTAAATTGCGGACATAATCCTGTGCACGTGGGGATCCAATGCGGCGAAGGGTCTCTTCATTTGGAGTCCCCAAATAATGAAGGATCTGATTCAGTTGGTCAACGTAATCACGACCTTTGAAAAAAGGTCTTCCGCCAAGTAATTCTGCAAGAATGCAACCGACAGACCACACGTCAACTGAAAGTCAGGTTAGCAACATTTATTCTTGTTAAATTGTATCCATGAGGAAGTTGGGACATACTAGCTTTCGTGTAGCTCGGGAAGCTCAACATGATCTCTGGAGCACGGTACCATCTCGTCGCAACATATTCAGTCATGTATCCAGCGTTTTCATCTGGATCAATTGAGAAACCACGAGCAAGACCAAAATCGCAGATCTTGAGCTCGCAGTCAGCGTTGACCAAGAGGTTTCCTGGTTTTAAATCACGGTGTAAAACGTTGGCGGAGTGAATGTATTTCAGTCCACAAAGAATCTGATAGATAAAAGATTGGAAGTGAGCATCGGTCAGGGGCTGGCCGGAACGGATGATGGCAGCCAGATCACATTCCATAAGTTCTTATAATGTTCTTAGCATCAGGATCCAGTTTCCACGGATGATAGGTTCCTCACCTTCATAGAGATAGACCTCGTTGAAGTGGTCTGGTCTTGGAATGTCCATGTCGTAGAGGCAGGTGATCTTCAAGCAAGGTCAGTCGTTGAGTCCGTCCATCTGGATAGTGGAAAGTCCCGGGGGCATACATTGCGATGACCGCGGAAATGTTGCAACAGTTTAATTTCTCGCAGGGCTCTCTTGGCCAAGATTTTCTTGCTGAAGACATTGGTGACCTTTTTGATAGCAACGCCCTCGCCGGTCTGTACGTTGGATGCGGCACTAAGAGTAAGAAAAAACAAAATATATCGTGTCAGAACTTGGCCATCAACCATGCAGGAGGTATCCTTAAAAAAATTGGCAACCGATGAAGGAGAAATTGTGAGTGGGAAGGGATGAATCGGCCGCTCCGATCGGAGGAGTACCGCTCCACCTCGCAGCGGTTGGAGCAAACATGCTTTCAGTGCACATACCAAACAATTCCATAAGCACCTTGCCCAACCTCCTTTGTGACATTGTACCGTTCGTCGACGATGAAATCCTGGTTAAACACCTTGAACACCTTACGTCCTTGTAAATCTGCCATTGTTCCGTAGCTTGAAATCACATGTAACGGGGCCAACGGTGAAATCTGAAGTTTTCGAGGATGTGCGGGGAGAGGGTATGGGTCAAGTTGCGGGTTGTTTCCGTGAGTTGGTCGAGAGGTAAAAGGACAGGTTCGGTTCGAGAATACAGCAGCCTGGCGTGGATAGGGTTTGTTCTCCTGGCCCGGCTCGGAGAAGGGATTCGCAGTAAACTAGATACGACGAGAGAAAACGAGGGTGAAAATGAAAGTCATACGCCCAAGAGAAAGATAAATATCTGAGCTTTTTTGAAGCTGGTTTCCCCCGTTTGTCTTCAGGTTCCAGAGAGTGAGGACGACAACAAAAGTTGGCGTTTAATAGCTCTTGTTCATTCGAAACAGAAAAACGGCGGGATGGGATGGGGGGGAATGCAGCATGAACTGGAGGGATGAGACTGATAGTTACTTGGCAGGCTTGCTTGATTCAACTGGGCGCCAAAAAAATAAATCAGCAGCCACAGCCAATGAGAGGTGCAAGAAAGCCAGTCCGACGGAGAGAAGGAAATTCAAGGGGCCAGCGAGAAGTGTGAAGCTTGGAGCGACAGGCGTTCGCTGGCTGAGGAGGGGCCGCGGTGTGGGAGTGGTGGTGATGGTGGGGTATTGGGTCGGCTGCCGATCGTCTCTCTGACCCAACTTTGGCTGCGCCAAACCCTCACTCGCTCAGCTGTGCAACCGACTTTGTCCAATCGAGGTCTGTTTTCAGACTTTCTGCTCGACCTTTCTTTCTTTTTTTTTTTTTTTTTTTTTTTTTTTTTGAAACGGAAAAAGAAAGGAAAAAGGAAACAATTCTTCCTTTGATGTCTTTTACGGAGTACCCCTCAGATGCTCCGGATACCTTCACGGCCAGCTGGTTATTTGGATGGAGGACTTGCCGCTCGTTCTAATCAGCAGCAGTTATATCTGCGCCGACAACCTCTTTGCTGACGACCCTCGTCTTCCTCCTGGCATTGTCAGCCAGCGAATCAGGAGGTGCAACGGTGTCTCAAATGCCCGTTTGAGCTCTGAAGGTGCGAGTGTTGGTGCCCCAGTTGGATGGCGGTCGCACTCCCTGAGGGTCACCAGTCCATCGTTACATGCTTACCTTGAAGCTATTGTCTTGTAGGCAAGTCCGCCGCTTAATCGCAATGCAACGTCTCTTTTCGGGCTAAGCTTCAGATGCGGAGAGCTACGGAGCATATAATATCTCGAATTAACTAGATGGACATCCAAAACGGATTCGGTTGACGTCGACAAACCGGGGGGGAGCAGTGTGCCCTTGATTCCTCCCCTCAGTATTTGATTTATCACCTATCGAAGACGGAAAAATGTCGTCTTATTTCCCTACGCCTACTTTTCCAGAAATAACTCCTTATAACAGATGTCTCTGAGGTGAGTCGAGCAAAACAAAGCCCTAACAAGCCAAATGATCCTCAAATACATGGTCCACAGACATAATTGTCTTGGTTAACATCAACCATGATGTGTTGTTTCTACGCGTCTGTATGCGAAAAGGAGCAGCCTTCTCTTTGCGCGAGTAGTGAAAATCACAACCTCAAGCAGTATCCATGAGTTGGATACCAGGGATATCCGGGCGCTCAAATCATCCACTAACTAGGAGTGCAAGCCACTTGACTCTTTTCTGTCACCTTTTACACTAGATGTCCCCCAGAAAGGTATTTAAGGCATTTCGGAAACGGCATGTTCGATCTTCACGAACCTCGGATGACGTTGATTTTCCTGCTTCCTGATGTGAAAGACCCTTGTCCTCGAACTCAATGGCAGGGTGCCTTTCGGGTACGCCGACCCCCCAAAAGAGACCAGGTCCTTCTCGAATAAACATGACCATGGAAACACTCTGGTCTCTTTGGAGTACCTAGACCCAATTTTAGTTGAAAATACTGTGAGATGTCACGCATAGCAGTAACCAACCCTAGCACCTGGATGGGAGATCAAGGCTCCAAATCAGAAATCGTTACGTGATAGGACTGGCAAGCTCCCAGCGTGACAGGAGTCTAAAATCAACCGGTTTTAGGGTGTTTAAAAGATAGAGAGTGGACTTGTCCATTCATAGTTCCAGCCTCAGAGCATTCTCTCTTGCTGCCTAAAGTCATGTATCAACTCTGGTTTCTTCATTTTTTTCACTTTTGTGGCTTGATTAAGTCCTCCTTAATTTTGTATTACAGGGTATATAATGCATCCGGAGTCGTTAGTTGGTTAAATAAGATTGGGATATCGACGGGAGGCCAGCTCCGGATGCTCTACTCCGTACCCCGGGCCGTTACTAAGAGTAATGTAAATAAACAACTACCTCCTAATTATGACTGCCCGCAGCCTTTGATGAATGATGATAATTTGCTTTAACATTTTTTTGCGTTTCTTGCCCTGCGAGTGGACCGTCCCGAGCTTCTCGGCGGATCCTCCGGGTCACGATCCATGGTTGAGCTGTGCTAGTGGTCGTTTGACATATCTAATCTATTTGGAAGGAGGATTAATTTCATGTGCGCTTATTAGTCCGGGTATTCGATATTAACCCCTGGGGCGAATAACTATTCAACCGGTATTATGTCGTGTCTGCCTGCTAGGAAATGAGAGATCATTTTCCAGATCCGTCCCTCTAGATCTCTCGGCGAGCTCAATGAGACGTGACCAGATTCGCGGAGTTGAAGATCTGATGCAACATGCTCGATGGCTATCCTTGCGCTTTGTTCAGTGTTTTGAGAGGGGGTGGGAGTTATATTCTGGAAGGATTGTCAAAATTAAATAGGTAATCATTGAAGCAAATGGCTTGATAGAATTAAGATCTGGAAACCCTATCCATGTCGCGAACTGGGGCAGGGGGAAAAATAACTATCCACCGGGCAAGGCTGTTGGCTTCTCCAGAGATAACAAAATAAAATAATAAGGTATGTTCAATCAAAGTGTGCGCGCGCACCCACATGAATTGGAAAGCCGAAACATTAAAAGCAACCCATTTCCATCGCTTTTGTCTTTCATAGGGCGGGAAACGCGCCTCCATCGCCTCGAAGGTCACTTCCTGCGCTATACAACATCTGTCCATCTTCAATGTGGCATCTAATAACCTGGCCTCTTCCAAACATTGCCCTCTCAAATCCCTTGAGGATCTTAACCTGATGCCCCATCTGCCTTAACCCTTCCGCCACTGACTCACTAATTCCTTCTTCCAAATATACAGTCCGATCCACTTTATCAATAGACTGAGGATGTCCAGCGCCAATACAGATCCGCGGGGCATCAAGGGCTGATTGTGGAGTAGCCTTGAACGCCAGCATGTTCATAAGAACCTGAACATGACCCTGTGGTTGCATAAAGCCTCCCATGACACCATAGACTGTATGTAACGAGTTGTCCTGTGGGTTAGTGATCATAGCAGGGATGATCGTATGGTAGGGGCGTTTGCGCGGGGCAATCACATTGGGATGGCCGGGCATCAGGGAAAAGTTCGAGCCCCGGTTCTGGAGGGGAAAGCCGCATCCTCTGGGGACAATGCCGGTCCCGAAACCCCCGTAGAGACTGTTGATGAAAGATATGCCGTTGCCTTCTTTATCCGTCACAGCCAAGTACACAGTGTCGCAGTGGTTATGGGCTGGGCTTCCGTGATCGAGGATATCCGAGGCCTTGTTGGGATCAAATAATTTTGCGCGTTCGGTTAGATAAGCTGGGGAGATAAGATCCTGCGATGGGACCTTTTCGACATCGGGGTCGGTCACCCACCACTGTGCATCGGCGAAGGCGATCCGCAAGCTCTCGATGATGGCGTGGAGATAAGGAACCGAATTGTGCTGGTCCTTGCTGAAATGTGGTATCTTCCCAGCGCGTGATAACTCCTTGAGTATGCCAAGAGCCATCAGTGCAACGATGCCTTGGCCGTTGGGAGGATGCTCCCAGACCTCGACTTCACCCCCTCCTTCACGTTTGGTTCCTGCGATTTCTCCAGGGTCGATCTTTAGTGATATTGGATCCACTTCCTGGCTGCCTACCTCCGCATGGTACTCGAGATCGTCAAGACTCAAGTAGCCCCCAAGGTCCTTCACGACTTTGACGATTTCCTCCGCAATCCTGCCTTTATAGAAACCTTCCTTTCCTTCTTTGGCAAGAGTTCGGAATGTCTGTGAGAGCTGTGGGTTCTTGAAGAGCTCACCGGGCAGAGGGCACCTGACACCATCTCTGGCCTGTGGATCTGCTTTCAGTATCTCTCTGAAGTTTGGCGAAGCTTTTCGGATGGGCTCTTCGCATGCTTCCCACTATGTTCAAACCGGTTAAAAAGAAGAATTGGATATATATATATATATATATATATATTTATTGGGGAACAACGGGGTCAACATACGAAAGTCGAAGCCAGCTCCGACACCGGAAACCCTTTTTCTCCGAGTTCAATAGCAGGCATTAGAATTTGCTCAAGGGTCAAGCGGCCGCTGCCAAACCTTTCAACGGTATCTACCCATCCTGCTGCCGCACCTGGCGTTGTTACAGCATGGGCGCTGGTCATGGGAATCCCTCCAGTCTCGCCCTGCGCAAGGCCCAGGTCCTTTCGAATAGCATCAAGGGACAGGTTCCCTGCAGCACGGCCTGAGCCGTTCAACGCAGAGACTTTCTTTGTTTTCGCATTATAAAACAAGCAAAACATGTCTCCACCGATACCGGTGGAGCTGGGCTCTGTCATGTTCAATGCTGCGGCTGTATCAAAAGTTCAATATTAGGACCCGATCTCTCCGAATGGGAAGCTCTCTTGGGAAACGAACCAACGGCCACAGCTGCATCCTGCCAAAAATGTGATTAGAGGTAATGGCATACAAACAGTCAAGGTGATCTCTACTTACAGCAGCATTTCCACCTTGCTGCAAGATCTTCTGTCCTGCAGCAGCAGCCAATGGCTGGGTGCATGCCACGATGCCGGCGGTGCTATGGACCACGCTCCGTCTACTCGCAAACGGGCAGAACTGGAGGTCCGGCACCGAGTAGATATCTCGACATGTCAGCCCCATTTTTTAACCCGGGGTATCTGTTGAATTGGCACGATGCTCAGGGAAGTTTTTGTCTTCAACTTCGGACGGAACACAAGAGGAGGAGGAGGAGGAGGAGGAGGGGGAGGGGGTTCTTATGCGACTGTAGGTGCAGTGAGTCAACTATGGGGGAAGAAATGCGAAGATGCCTTTGCGGAGAGATGCCGTGAATGGTAGGACTGGTACAGACCAACCCCTCGCCGACATGGCCTGTTTCCCCGTGCTGCTCTCTCGGAGTGCTTCCCCACGCCAACCCGGTGGACGGCCTTATGATGGATCCCCACCCAATGATATCACCAGAAACCGCCGAACCGTCCCCAGAATACCATTCGGTAAGTTCCAGAAACCACAGAAATACAGCTAAGTCCCTTTTAGGCTTAGCTAAATGACCGCTTTGCGACCGAATTCTGCTGACTAATCTAACTCTGCCCCTCCAGTCGTCTCAAGAGTAGTGCCGCCAGGTTGGGTTTCAGCGCTCGGCCCATCATCGTTCAACTGATATCACTCACTCTCTTCTAGAATGCTGGCGGTCAGCAGCAGCTTGCTTCCTCCGGAATGAAACGGCCTAGCATCTCGAGTTTGATATTTTCTTTCAAGGCTCTACGTTTTACAGCCTACAGCTCCTTCAGTCTCCGCTGACACCGGCACCGCGCTCCTGCAGGAACAAGGATGGTGATTTTCGTGGATTATGCAGAAGATGATCACGCTGCCTTTGCTTCGCAGAAGAACCTAGAGGCAAAGCGTTTGCTCTCAGCGGATATTGCAGTGCTTGGTCCCCCAGAAAACACCAGAATGCCGGTCCCGCTATCGGCCGACTGTGCTGCTGAAAGTGGGACTAAGTCCAGAAGTGCCGAGGACTGGAGTACTTCCGAAGCAAGGGAAGAAAGAGAAAAAGCTCTGGACTCCGTCGGCTCAAAGTTTTCTTTGGCTCTGAGCTGCTATCCGTATGCAAATCGTGCATTTGTTTGATAACAATCCTCGTGTCAGATATTAACCTCGGAGTTTTCTTTTCTTTTCGCAGGATAGTAAAGCAGATCGCTCGCTGTGTGGATTTGAATACCCTACATGCCTTGTCCAGAACATGTCGTCAGTTTCGCGAGATATTGCTCGCTTCTCGGGGTCTATTGATTCGCGAAACGCTGCGTTGTCGCTATGACTCACTTGGAGAAAGGAACGACGCTCAGAAAACTTCTCAGCAGCAGTTCGGGTTTACAAAAATATGCCCCTGCGCGAGGGATATGGTGGCTCATTGCCAGAGATGTTCCTCCGTAGTCTGCAGAGCATGTGTGCCCAAGTTTATATCTACTGCTGGATCAAGCCACTGACCGCTTGGTAGAATTGCGCCATGAAACCACCTACCATTACGATATTAAAGAATCGCCTTCGTCGACTTTGTTCTACATGTCTAGAGGCGCCTCTACAGTCGTTAATAGATCATAACACCTGCCTTGGTTCCCCTTTCTGTTCCTGCAGCAACGAAGTCTGGTTCTGCCGGCCCTGCGGCCAGGTCTTGCACAGTGATGACACCGCATACAGGCGTGTGTTCTCGTGGCGGACACGATATAGCACATACCTGGGCGGCGGCCCTGGTACAGGCATTGGCGACACTTGTCTGGGCGTACAGTGCGGAAGAGAGGATAAATGCCTTGCGGCAGAAGAAATTGAGGTCGAAGTAGACTGCGAAGTCGATGACTGGGGGGCAGAGCATTCGGAGCATCCGAGTCCTCACCCCGGCGAAGGCCATTCCGCAGAGGATGAGGGTCCCGGATATTTGAGGCAAGAGATAATGGGAGTGGGCGGCGTGGTGAAACAAAAGGTGAAGAAGAGAGTCAAGGTCGGTGCGAGTGTCGATGAGCACGACGATGAGCGTGAATCGTCAGCGTACTTGAAGAAGGAATGCTCGGGAGCCGTCAGGAGCTGGTGTGGATGGTGCTCGCGGGTGGTGCCGAGCAGGACGGAGCTCACGGCTGAGATACCATCAGTTGCCCTCCCCACTCCTCCGTCCAAAGTTGGCACGACGCAACGACCTGTATTGAATCATGCTGTTGGTGGTATGGTTGGCAACATCCCTCTTTCGTTTGACCAATCGGATAAAAAACACTGCAGACATGCGGTCCCTCGTAATACACGCACACACACATTCAATAAAGGTACGCGTTCATAGACCATAACCAATACCCACGAATCGAGGTTAGGTAGCACATACGTACATAATTTATATACCGCCTCATGTGGGCTGAATCTCTTGTGGATTCATGTTGGCTGTGGACAAGGCTGCTTTTCCCCACTTCAACAACACTCTTTTTGCTGCTCGGAAGGCTGATCCGGCTGCCACATGTTCGACAAGTGTATTCATTTGCTGTACGACCTAACAGCAAGAAAATAAAGAGAATTATCCAAATGTAATAAGTAATTGGTTTCTAGGATACCCCTGTGATCACCGTAGTCTGCATGTTGGTTAGGGCTGAACTCTCCCCATCATTCCCTCTTTTTTTTCCCCCCCCACCCTGTTCCTCTTAATGTCGGACAAACTAGTTCTGGAAACATTGACCGGACAAATAGGATTAGAATAGAACTATCTCCATACATACATGTATGTGCATATTCAGGATGTGGTGTTGGCGGGGTTTTTTTGCCCACGGAGCTGTCTAATGATGTGTGGGTGTTACAATGGTTATGTCCTTGCATCTAGGCTCTGCAGGACACAATGTCTGGCAAGAAAGTTCTACATACAATGGAATGGGGCTGCATGCGCCCTGTAGTCTTATGCCTTTTTTTTTTCCCGGAGATGGATTGGAGTAATGTGATGCATCTCATAAAGACAGCTGCAGCATGACAAGGATCGGTGAAGTTGTGAATTGTTGTCAATTCAGAAGCAATATCACCTGCCCGTGAGAGGAGGAAAGGAAAGGGATTGGGATGCTGTGGACATGTTTAACATACTTGGACCGGAGTGTTCCATGATAACAGAAGACATGCAGGCATGTATGCAGCTGTCTACATGCATGAGTGTTTCTAGCAATACTTGTTTTGTTATGTATCTTGGGAGGTCGCGTTGCCTATCAGATTGCACAGCAACAACACAAATAATAGGCCCAAAAGGGGAAATGTGAGCATTTTCGCTTAACATCCCGCTTTCTTCTCTGGCACAAACACACACTACCCACCTAACTTATCTATGACATTGTCTGTTTGTTTGGCCTGATATCTGTTTTGCATTAGTTGCGGAGGCTGTTTGTCGCCATGGCGGCAGAAAATGCGCCTCCGATTGAGCTCCTGAACATGCCCAATGAGTTGTTGTACCAGATCGCCGAGAACATTGAGAGAGACTGTGACCTCAACTCATTCCTGCAAACTTGCCGAGAACTCCATGAACTCCTGAACCCGCAGCTGTACCGTCGTCACGCGAAATCCAGCAACCACCCCGCCATCTGGTGGGCTTTGGACAAGGGAAACGTCGAAACTGTAAAGCTCGCGCTCGACTATGGCAGCAACGTGGACTATGTTCGCCAGGTCAGCATGTTCATCAAGGAAATTCTCTTTCAGGGAGGGATCTTCCCCCGGGACATGGAATATGCGCGGAGGAATCTGGAAAGGCGCGGTCGGACCATGGAAATTATCGGGTTGATATTTGAACACTGCGTGCGCGCCGATGCCTATGCGAACAAACATAGACACACCACCATCGAGAGCGCCGTGATGGGTAACGACACTGACTCGGCTAAGTTTCTCCTCGAGAACGGTGAACGCATTCCTGCGGTGGGGAGCGTCTATGGGAACTTGGCGCATACCCTGATCCAGTGGCCGGGAGAACGCGTGAACCTCTCCATGCTCGACCTGCTCTTCAAACATGGCCTCCATGCAAACGTGAAAAACGCCAGCGGAATGACGGCTCTCCACATGCTAGTTGAACAGCGCACCAAACAGGGCTTGGAGGACGTAGCGCGGATGTTGCTTCGTTACGGCACGGACATCGACGCCAGAGCCAACAACGGAAAGACCGCTTTGGAAGTTTCTGTTGAAGGCGGCTCAGACACCATCGGTGAACATCGTCCGTACTATTACAACGAGGAAGTCGTCAGGTTGCTGTTGGAAAACGGGGCAGACACCTCCAGAATCGCATTGCCGGAGTCTGGACCGCTTCGCGACTTGGTCGATAAAATTTTCAAGGAAACTGGTCGAACCTTCGAGTTCCGCACTTGAATAATGGCGTTAATTTGGGCTCTGGCGATGAGCTCAACCTGGCAACTTTTTCTTCAAGCTGCAATTCGGCAGAAAGGCTTTTCGAAGAGCAGTTACACGATGCGATCTGGTATCAGTGACGGAGGGGATGTGCTTGCATGAGAGCAGTCCACGACAGCGAAAGGTGTATCTACCTAAGCACACTGGTTAATCACGCTGAGCTGTAGTTAGTTCTCTGAACTTCCGGAAATTGGAATGCAGATTTTAGTTACTCACGTCGCGCCGTTATCCCTTTGTGCTTTGACTGTAGATCATGGTCGTACCGGTCCATAACCCCCTTCTCTGTCAAAGACAAGGCCCCCAAGAGCCCATCTGCTCCGTACTAGTTACCCAAAATCAAGGGCAATTCCATATCAAAACAAAAAAAAAAAAAAAAAAAAAAAAAAAAAAAAAAAAATTCTTTCGCGGCAAAAGTCTGCTTCTCGCCACCTGATCCTGTAAATCCCACACAGTCACACCCCGTTGGACAACAGGCCATTCGCAAGACTCTCACCCCAAAAATTCAGTACGTCAAAGCCCACTCCATCCATCAAACTGCACCTTTCCAAAACAGAGTCCTGCCTTTTCTTCTTCTTCTTTTTCCCCCTCCCTGCATGGGCAATCCCAATATCTCAACCTGTTCCCCCGCGAAACCTGCTCGCCCAAATAGAGCAAGAAAAGACGAGAGATCACCGTCTCCTCATTTCTCTCGCAAGACAGGAAAGACTTAATACAACACAATACCCGTGGACCAGGTGGCTCAGCATTTCCGACTCGTTTCCTTTCAAAGGTCCAATTGAAAGTGGACGATGCGATCCCTGCTTGGTTCCAGCTTGGCGTGCGGTGTTCTTATGTCGCATTCTGCTCCGCAACATTACCTACAGGAAACCTAACTTATCCATCCAGGGCAGGTCGTCCTTAAAAAAAAAGGGTGGGAGGGATGGATGGCGGGTTGTTTCGCATAAAACCAACATCTTGCAGGGCGAGAGCTAAGCCTTGGTGGTTGGGTTTCCAGTTGATAATCCCTTTTCTTTTTTTTTTCCCCCTTCCCAAGGGCTGGCCGATGACGAGTTAAGTGTACAGGAGTACGAAAGCGATATTAATGGACATATTATCATTACCCTGTTAAGTTGAGATTGAGACGCTCTCCCATCCCTTGACCGACAGTTTTCGCCTGTCAGGCGGCTGTCTCAGGCGACGTTTGGGCGGTCAAGGCGGGAAACGAAACGAGGGATGAGCAAGTCTTGGCGATATTAACTCCCCCTAATCGAGTTAATTGACCAATTAACTCCCTAACTTAACCTGGTTTAACACGACTTAACTCCACAAAAAGTTTGTGTTTTAGCCTTCCGGGGAAAAGTCGAAAGGTTAAGCGGGAGTGGCTTTGTTTCTTAATTTAGAAATTAACTCGCATTTCTCTCGGGAGCCCGGAACCCGGCGCTGGTTCGGGATTTTTGTATGGAGAATGTATGTGCGTATGTATGTACGGAGTATGGAAGTCTCAGAACATCCGACATGCTGTCTTCGAGTCTGTTGTGTAGCGTGGGACGAGACAAAAGTGAACGTCTGTCATCTATTTCAGATAATTTTAGTCAAATTTATTTATTATTTTCCCTTCATATTTTCTTATTGCAAGTTTGGAAGTTAAGTTTCAGATCGACCGAAAAAAAAAAAAAAAATAAATAAAGCAAATTAGCCTGTTCCAGAGTATGCATGTCCGTCAAAACACATTCAAGACTCCCACATATGGGATGTGCGTATGGACATACAAGCCTAATGCATGCAGGTCGCTTGACGTGCCGTAGACTTGCCCGTGAAGACTCGACGGGTATTGACCACGTCGTCCAATCAAAGTCAGGAGATCCAGGCGATCCCGCTTCTTCGCTGCAGACCCTGTTGTGGCAGTGAGCTTGAAGAATGGGAGTAAAACCCCTTCTAACTAGTTAGGCTAGAAGCCACTGCTTAGTCAAAACAAGCGTTATATATATTCTCGACAAGACCGTCACAGCAACCCCTTGTCAACACCCCCCTGGGGAGGGGGGAAAATCCATTTAGGAAATATGTAGGCGGAGCCGTCCTCTTGGTATCGAGGAATGGGGGAAACTGGCAAGGGGGCTATGTTAAGGCGATCGGGACTGAAGGGTGATGAGCTTCTTTTTATCTCCGCACCCCTGTCCCCTTGAATCCTGACTAGTGAGTGTTTACCAACAGACAAAGAGACTAACTGACTCGCTACCGCGGGGTGGGGAACCCTGAAGGATATGATGCAATGAGGTATACACAGTCGAACTGGCGTTGCACGACCGCTTCCCAGAAACGAACTGTTAAGAATTGAGATAGCGACTGGGTGACGGACGGGGCTGGAATCGGTTGGATACTTCGTTAGTTGTCTCAGCGGAAGAACAAAAGCGCATTGATCCATCTGTGCGGATGTGTGTTTCATGAAGCAGTTAGATTGAACAGTGTTAGAGCCGAGGATCTGAGTCAGGACCCCACGAGAAGAGAAGGGAAATGACGCCTCGGAGAAAGCGATCGGGAGCAACACGGCATTACGGACCCTGATGGAGAGGTGGTGGTCGGGGGTAGGGTGCAATACAGACATACAGACAGACAGGAGAGACAGATAGATAATTACACAGAAGAGGCTTGCAGAAGGCATGGATCAGAGGTTGGCCCCTTTATGGAGATGTGCCCTTGGCCCGGCAGCTTTGTGACGATGGAGCGTGGAAGCATGCGGGTGATCGCCGAGCTGGCGTTGGAGCGGGAGCCATGACTTAGTTTAGCAGAGGAGAGTTAACTCGCTGCTACGTACGTATTTGCTCCGCATCTCCGGACGAGAAGGGGAGTGTCTGTTCTCCTCCGCATGAACAACTAATAACTCGCCACTCCAGGGCCGAAGCGAGATGAAATTGTAACTGTCTACTCCGTACATTTGATCACATTGGAGTGATCGAGTCGGAGGCGTGTTGGGTGTTGGCAGCGGGATGGCCGCGTGTAGCAGTGGCAGCTGACCCTCATCCTCACCGTGACTGCGGTCATCGTCGTCGCGAGGATCTCCAGGGTCTAATTCCGCATTCCCCCAAGGAAAAGGTGAGCGGTGAGTGGTGAGTGGGAGAGTTGGGAAGAGGGGGGGAGAGAAGGGGGAGGGACGAGAGCCTCTTCCATTTCCCCCATGCAAACTCCGTACCCGGGAACCTCATTACGCTAAAATTTCCCTCAGGGGAAAGGGGACGGCCACCAACCTATTTTTAGGAAATCCAGCTTAGCCTAAACGGGGTAGGCGGGACTTGGCTGTACCCCTGGGCGTGTTCCAGATTTAGCAGGAAACACTCCGCACGCACACTTGGGGTTTTACTGAAGGCAACTGGGCAGTGGGCGGCGGGCAAGGCAGGCAGGGCCCGGCGCTTAGTCGACTGTCAAACACGCGCCGAAACGGAAGTCGCACAGGAAGCACACTTCGTACTTTCTTGCACCACCCCACACACTAAGCCCCTGGAGTGAGTGCTTCCTGCCGTAGAAGAATGCATCGAAGATTCTTGAAAAGGCGAAGAAGGTGCGATCCGGCCCGCCGGCGCAGTCACACCGTCCGAAGAGAGAAGGGATATGAGTGTGTGTGTGTGTGGGGTTGACTGGCAGCGTCGCGCACAGTCGGTGCGGATGGCAATCGCTGCAGTGGTTCCTGGTAGGCTCGCAGACGCTGGAATACATACTCCGGTAACTGGGTGGTTACTTACTGGTTTGGTTACTACTACTGTAGAATATCATCGAATGATGGTTAGTTACTGGTTCGGTTATTACTACTGTAGAATATCATCGAATGAAGCCGCCAGCAAGTCGACATCAGCGACTCGTGATTGCGGTTGACTGCAGACAACTCGTTCGCTCAGCCCCAATGAAATAACTAGTTAAATATGGGAGTTAGCAAGAACGGGATCACCGGGGGGGTGGTGTGTGATGGTGGGCATATCGTTCTAAAAACAATGCGTTTTGAGTCTACTGGAAAGAGAACACTCAAAACGACAGACAAGACAGGCAGAATACGGAGAGTGAGCGTGTGTGTACAGTACAGAGTACATTGAGTGTAGTTCTCCGTAGACATCCACAACAGACCCATGTCTGGTAGCGCGGCGCGATTTAGGTTTTGTTTCAAGTCCGGCTCGCAGAACACGTTGAGGGCCCGGCGTGGGAAGAGCGAACCCTGGGGCTCCCGCCCTGGGTACAGTACTGTAGCTTCAACCTGGAGGAGAGGAAGGCCGGAAACAAGAGGGTACTGTACCATGGCTCTTGTCAACCCAGGCCGGTAACTAGGGAACTAGGGAACTAGGGGGAAGCCACTCAGCCTCTGGCCTGCGGCTCGACAGGGGGGGCTTGCCTGCTGGCGTCCGGCCGGCGGATCTCCAATGGGCTGGCGAGCTGCCTCTTTGCTTTTTCGGCTGTTGACTCTTGTTTTTCTATTTTTGCATCCTTCCGTGCCAGCTGCTGCTTGCCCGCCGCGGCCTCTCTCGTCGCTGCTGCTCGCTGCTGCACCGCTCGACCTGCTTCGACTCGCTCTCCATATTAATACTGTTTAACTTCCCATGGCTGGCCTCCACCCAACTGCTTCTTCGTCCCGCTCCCCCTCCTCCTCCTTGCTGCCGTCGCCGCCGCCGCTGCTGCTGCTGCCGCTGTTCCTCCCTGCCGGTCAGCTTAGCTCCAAGCAACCACCGATTCACACACTCTCCCCAACGCCCTCCGTGAACAATGGCTGCTACCTCCCAGGCTACCGCTACCAGCTGCGCCCAGGCCAGCTGGGACGCCAGGACCATCGCTCACTCCGCCTCCGCGATCCCACCGCTGCTCGACTTCCACATGTCTCCCTCCATCGCTCCCTTCACTCGCCCGCAGCCACTCCCCTTAGACCATCACTGGGCCGCAAATCCACAACAACCACCACCACCGCCGCCCTCTACCAACACCGCAACCGCTGCCGCCAACAGCCCGCCCAAGGACGTCGCGCTCACCCTGCGACGCGAGAAGGAGTTGCTCGAGGCTTCCGTCCCCATCACATACACCCCCGCCACCCACAGAATAAGCAAGGCCAAGAAGGGGAAACGAGTCCACCTCTGCCAATTCCCAGGCTGCAAGAAGGTAAGCCAGATCCCCGCAGAAACACAGAAACCAGCTGTGCACACGCTATGTTCTCATCTCGTCGCGTGTGATTCTATTAAAAAAAAAAAAAGAAAAGAGAGAAATTAAAAGAATTATCACTGATACTTTTTTTTTCTTCCTCTTTTGCAGATTTTCACCAGAGCTGAACATAGACGGTATGCCTTTTTTTTTTTTTTTTTTTTTTTTTTTTGGGCCCCCCTCCCGCCTCAGATCCCAGGAGCTAATGATCTCTTGTAGGCGTCACGAATTGAACCACAACCCCCAGGCGTCATTCTTGTGCTCGGTGGAAGGCTGCGGAAAAGGGTTCCATCGCCATGATCTGCTCACACGCCATATGGAGAAACAGTGAGTTTATTACTTTTAAATTTTTTTTTTTTTTTTTTTTTTTTCCCCTTTGTTTTGATCGTGCAAAAATTGACGGCAATTCTTTTCTTTTTTTTAAAAAATAATAGCTCCAGTGACTCACAAGCACGGAATCGTAAGCCATCTCCCGTCCGGCGCAGGAAGAGCAGCCAGGCGTCTGTTCTCTCCGACAAACCCGCTTCCATCCCCGTCCCTCTCCCAGACCACGGATTGACACCCATTGGTCGGGCTCTCCCAATAACTACTACAACAACTGCAACAACTGCTACGTCCTCACTCGCCCCGCCTCCCTCTACGCTTCCGCACTGTTACGGAGGGGAATTTACAGCCCCCTTTTGGGGCCAAACCGGAAAGCCGCTGGACAAGGGTCATACGGTGCCCCAGACCCCATACGCCCACGTTGACGATGTAGTCCCGTTCTCCTCCCCCGCCAGCTCGCGCTCGTCGTCGAACAGCAGTCCATTCCCCATCTCTTCTCAGTTCTCCGTAATCGAGCAATTCCCAGAGGCCGTTTTCTCCCAGCAACTCACAACCTCCCCCACGCCGATGACATCCTACCCTGAGTGGACTCCCCTCGAGGCAGCCGTCACTCTGCCTCCGCAGATGTTGCCTACCACCCAGTTCGGAGGTGACATCCCGCAGACAGTAGGTGAACCTTCCCTTATCTATTGGACATCCAACCGGAAGGTTGTTGACCCTGGCCCAGCCGTACCAGTACCCCTCTCCAACCTGGATGGAGTCGAATGGTTTGCTCTACGACGCGAACTTACTTCCACCCCCGGAGTCCTTTCAGGCAATGATGGACTGGCAATAATCGACCTCTCAAAATGGCAGGATTGTTTCGAGTGTTACTGGCAGTACTTTCACCCGTTGTTCCCAATCGTGCATCGGTCGTCTTTCTTCTCCACAAAGCCGAGTCCCCTGATGGCTGGGGCCATGGTTGCTATTGGTTCGCAGTACGATCGTCGTCCAAACTCGCAGGAATATTCTTTGGCATTACTAGAGGCCTGCCAAAAGATCTTGTCAAAGGTGGGTTTTCCTCTCTGGCCCTGCACTCGAAAGTTTTCACTTCTGTAGACTGACAGCTTCTGTAGCGAGGTCCCATTACCAGCCGTTCGCGAATATCTGATATCCAGGCAGTCTTCTTACTTGAAATTCTGTCCAAGTACCGGTCGCGAAAAGCGGATGTGAAGGTTTCTCATCGATTGAGAGCTCTATATGGCAGTGTAAGTGCTAATTGCCTAGAAAGCTTTTATCTGGATCTCCTTTTCCCTGACTCTTTATTTTTCTTTTTTGACATTTTGCAGTTTATTCAGGACAGCCATTGGGCTTCTCAGAACCCGCTTGCCGCTTACCAGAGCCTATCTCAGAAGCCAAGCACAGACGACATCAGAAAAGCACATAAATTCTGGGTTGAGCACGAGACACGACGAAGAGTCCTGCAAGCAGCTTTCATCCTCGAGGTGCAACAGTCGCTTTTATTCCAGCAGCCATTGGCCACGTTCCTCCAGTCAACCTTGGATCCCACTATGAGAGAATATCGAGTCTCTCCAAAGGTCGACCTCCCATTCCCCTGCAGCTCTGAGCTTTGGGAAATCAGCGACATTGAGCAGTGGGCTCAGTCTGCGAAGAAGTATGACCCGCTAGTCTCTTCCAGCGCAAGGGAACGCATCATCAAGTCTGCCGACGGCTCTGGAATCGATCTCGATCCATTTCAAGCTAGTCTCATTTTTAGCCAGAGTCTACCCAATACGAGCGACCTAGAAGATAAAATGAATATGTTCATCGAGAAGGTCGCAGGCAAAGCCAGCTCGGATGATGCTTGCAACCCTCGAGCGTCTTATATCCGGTTCATGCACCATGCACTCCTTGCCGCCAAGCACGCACCGCTCCAGGCGCTTTTGACCGTCAGCGGAGAATCCTGGCTTTTCAACCGCAAGGTTTCTGAAACCGACTTCCAAACTGCAAAGGAACGGGTGCACGCTTGGGTTTCAAACGCTGCAGAAGCGAAAACGGCACTGTGGCATGCCATGCACGTTCTGCGATGCACAATCGGACCAACGGATCTAAATAAATCGGAAGTCCCGATTCAGGAACAGCGTCGAGCGAGTATGGATCTGCACTTTTCGACCCCAGTTCAAAAGACATTTCTGAACTCGCGACATTCCACCCCAGGCGTTTCTTCTACTTCTCAAAGGCGCAAAGTTAGCGCCAAAGATGCCTTGCTTGGCAACCCTACGACGACCCTCCAGCAGCCATCAGCTTCTCCCCTCACGATGCTCCAGTCCAATTGGATACTATACTTTTGCTCGTTGATCTGTTGGGCATACGAAAACCGCACGACAGCATCCCCTTTCCAAATTACGACCAATCCTTCACTTTCTACTCCAGTTTCACCAATACCCCCAATCTCTGTACATCAGTATATTACAACGTTCCTCTCCACCGCCTCTTCTCTCCGACAATTCCTCGACCAGCCAACGCCGCAAAATACCCTGGGTCATGACCTAACGTCAGTTATTGAACACATTCGTCTTATTATTTTTAGAAATGCACGAGGCATTCGGAACGATGGTGGGCTTTTGAACGAAGCCGAGCGTGTTTTGATGAGATTGATTGAGCAGCAGCAACAGCGAGCGAAGCAGCATTTGCATTATTTTCAGCGTCCGCATCCGCATCCGCGCCAGGTCCAGCATAATCAGAGTCATCAACAGCATCAGGCAGCATGGGAGTTTGTTGATTCGGGATTTTGATCACTATTTTTTGCTTTTTTTGAGGACTTTGATTTGGCATATTGGAGTCTTTATGAGGGAATAGAGACATGATTAGATGAGTTTGATTTCTATTGCTCTTCGTTTCCCCCTTCTTTTTTTTTTTTTTTTTTTTTTTTTTTTTTTTTGCTTCTCGCGACATCTCCGGGATATACATGTCTTGTTTGTCTGGTTCTGATTTCCTTTTTTCGATTTGCATGATAATATTTGATCCTTTCCCCAGATTTTGTTTACTTACATCTTGATCTTTTTTTTTTTTTTTTTAAATTTTGAGAATCCCCTTGTTTTTTTTTTTCGCTTCTGCTTTTGATTAAACTACCTTCATGTAATCTGATATGTGAGATAATGTCTTATGCATAATGAATTTTTTTCTTTTCTACTCGATGTGACAATAGATTTCATTTTGTTGCGGTCTCTGTGTTGTCTCTCCTTTTTTGGCATATATATCTTTCTCCTCCCATTTTATACCCCCTTTACTTGTCTCAATGAATCTCTTAAAATAGGGGTTGAGGACCTCTTTAAGCATATCAGAGATACTTGGAATATTTTCAACTTCAGTATGTTTTATGATTACCTCCTGTTCCAGGAAAAAGAAAATTAAAAAAAAGGACGTTAGAAAGTAGATTTCTCAAATATGTAAAATGCCTTTGGTTTTGGATACACCCAGTACATAGTGCACATCTACAGTAATTAATCCGAAAAACATAGGAATCTCGACTCTGCAAAGGTCTGGAATATGACCAAAAAAAAAAAAAAAGGTCACACGCCACCTCCCAGCATGCATATTTCTAATTATGCAAATGAAAAAAGAAAGGCACCTGCGATGATGACCACACCCCCACTGCACCAACGAAGAATCTCAGGTCTAGAGCAGTTATCCCCGCTTATTTGAACTGATCCTCGGTCACGCCCTTACCCATGGCACTAGTGCTGCTAATACCACCAGTGACCATTTTCAACAGCTCATCAACATAGTTTGCCCCGCTCCATTTCTGATGCGTCACGACGTCAACCTTGTTCTCCATCTCCGGCTCCTGCACCAACTCGCCATACGCCCGCATCCCCTGCTTGGCGTACGCCTTGGCGAACTGGTCCGAGATGAGCGCGGTGGTGTGCAGGCCCGCCAGCGTGATGAACTGCCAGCAGTACCCCAGCTCGCCCAGGCGGCGAATGTACGTCTCCTGCTCGTCGCGCGGCATCGCCGCTTTCCAGTTGAACGAGGGGGAGAGATTGTACGCGAGCTTCTGCTGCGGCCACACGGCGTGCACGCCCTCGGCGAATTCTTTGGCCTGTGCGTAGTCTGGCAGCTTGCTCTCCATCCAGATGAGGTCGGCGAAGGGAGCGAACGCCACAGCGCGGTTGATCGCGCACTGGCACCCGCCTTGGTACCGGTAGTACCCCTCGCGCGTGCGTGGAGCGTCCCAGTCCCAGAAGATGTCGGTGCCGAGGATCTGGCGCGCGATGGCGCGTGCTTCTTTGTTGCTCTTGCCCTTGATTTCGCGCAGGAAAGCGCCGATGGTGGCTTGCTTGTTGGCGGCGGAGGAGGCCTTGATCTGGTCGATGACGGCGTCTTCGAAGCGCTTGAGACCGGCCTTGGCGATCCAGCTGTCCTCAATAGCTTGGAGCTCGGCACCGTTCTTTCCGGCGCGCTCGGCGGCGATCATGAGGTCGTTCAAGGGTTCGAGGGTCGGGTTCGTGGAGCCTACGACGAAAGCGTGGTCGCGCGGGTCGATGGTGGAAGTGATGAGGGTCGCGGCCTCGGAATCAGTTCTGGCAATGGCAAGAAGGTCGGTCCCTTGGGGGATATCAGCATTGTCTTCGTGATTGGCAGGTGTGATGCGAGATGAGCTACTTACCCATGATATCAGCCTGGGCGCGGATGGCAACCAATCGGTTAATATGCTCGCTGATGGGCACCAAAACTTTGCCAGCCATGTGTCCACACTTCTTCGTTCCGGGAGCTTGGTCCTCAATATGGATACCAGCGGCACCCCTCTCGATGAAGAGCTTTGTCAACTTCATGACGGCAGTCAAACCACCGTGGCCGGTGTCAGCATCGGCGATGATAGGAGCAAGGTAATCGATATTGGCAAGAGAGGCGCGTTTCTCTTTGGGGTTGCGGAGTCTTTCTTCACGTTGTTTTCTGTCGTGGAAGAGCTGAGCCATCCATAGTTGGTTGACCTTGTTTGGCACAGTGTTCTATGACTCTTCTTGTCAGCACTGGCTCGCGCAAAATACTCTATATGGCCTGTGGTCTCACCATTGGGTAATCAGCCAAATCTGGTGATGGCTCATCGGTGGAGGAGGCGGTGGACGAGCTTTGCCATCCAGAGACGTAGACGGTGTCCAAGTACTTGACCATCTGGGTGACCATGGTAGGATCCAGACAGCCATAGGTGAAGCTCGCGGTTTTTGTCTAGGATTCACACCCAACTCGTCAGCCAAACGATCATCCGCACAGGTGTCATCGAGATGTCTCCCGAGAGGGCATTTCTACCTTGAACTTCTCTTCCACGAGCTTCCATAGCTTTTTGCTCTGCACGTTTGAAGGATATTCAATCTTCAGGTTTCCTCGCTTAGCGACAATCTGCTCAGCTGTGAATGGCCGCTTGGTATACCGCCATCTCGAATCCTTCCACCACTGTTTGACGGCCTCAACCTCCTCCCAGTACTTTTGCTCCTCCTGCTCGACTGACAACGACATTGTGATGAGATTCTATGTGGGTAGATTAAAAAAAAAGGGATTTCAATTGAGAGAAAACAACAGAGGCAACGACCACGGGGTCACTTTTAAATTCTTCCTGTATTCCGAGGTACAGGGCTCATTGACGACGTCACTGCAAATGGAAAACGAACGGAGAGAAGTTTCCGCCAATAGAAGCTCCGAGTAAAATAGAAACGGTTGGAGAAGGTGTTTGCTTCACCAGACACGGGGACAAGGACATGTACAGCAAGAATGCAGCTGGGAGAAGAAGAGATATCAAGCCACAACGGAAACGAGCCAGAGATGCGTAGATATAGCCTCGAGGAATCCGTCCGCATGAGTCAACGGTTGTTCAGGAAAAAAATCATGCGCGCCTGCGGACGGTTCCCCCGAGGCAAAAAACGCACTAACTTGGCATAACCTTAATTGCTTTTCATTTTGCCATAAGGGAAAAGGGAAAAAGAGAAACAAGGAGCTCGAGAGATGTCGCACGGCGGCAAGCGTCCGAACTGGGCCGGGATTATGAACCGCCATTGGAGAAAAGGTCCCGAAACAGGGCTCCAGATTAATTATCCTGCGAATCAGGAACCTCCCAGGGCTGGAAGAAGAAAGCTTACATATGGAGTGTCCAGCTCACGCTTTCGGGGTGCCATACTAATTTTTTTTTTTGGGTTCTGGTTCTGGAGAATGGCCGGTCATGATTTGTGTGGTTGCTGGCGCAGACGGATCCTCGGTCCAATGGAGCATGGCGAACCGGTGGGCTCCAAAGCTTGCGAATTTGCAGGTAGGTTTCTCCGACATGCACTGGGGATTTAAGGCCAGAGCACGCCGTCGAAGCCAGATGCAGAGAAAATGCGCTCTGGATCCTTCCGAGGGCCTTCGCTTGATGTCCGAGAGGCAGCGTGGACGGACGACGGACGACGGACGACGTTGGACGAGCAGCGGCGGCGTGACTGGCGAGCGCCCAAGCGGGTTTAGCGCGGGACAGCCGCCGTACGGTAAAATTACCCCGGAGAGCATCCGAGTGCAAACAGTGCAAACGCATGTGAAGTCAACTGCTCACATGACATCACGAGTCGTCGCTGAAGCTCGAGGCCGAACTGCTCGACCTGCTCGACCGGCGGAATCTGCCCGAGTCCGAGACGCAGGGCAGGCGGCCGTTGCTCTCGTAACGGCATGCTGCGATACCTCGGCTTGCTGCTGTGCCTTGTCTTTCATAAACATCTTCTGGACTGATGAAGCAAGATTTGTCCATCATTCCAGGGAGAACTGTCTCACCCCGTAGGGCTCGATCCCCGGGACCGCCCTGCGACACGGGGTAGATCCGATGCAAGCTTCCAATGTTGACACCCATATGGCGTGTGCTTCGTCATGCATCCAGCAATTGTGCACCTTGCTAGTCAAAACAACCTCACCGGAGACGAAAGTATTACCGGATTGGATATGGGAACAGCGAACATGCCGCGCTCCAGGAGGTATTCCAGACTCCGTGGAGTTGAGGTTCGGGGTCAAGGTCCCCCCCCCGGGGGCCCCGAGGATATCCCAACCAGCAAAACCGAAGGAGGAGCTTCCGTTACTATACCTATACATTTGATACCAACAGCTGATGGCTACTAATGGCAGCTGGAGCCCATTTCTCAATGTCATTCTGCTATGGAAGGCAGCGCATTCCCTCGAGCTTGGCTTCGAACTTCAATGGCTCAATCACTGGCCCGGCCATCTGAGAGTCTAAACGTGTCATCATGTGCAATCATATAAATGTTTGCAACATGTAACCATCATCGCCCTCCTCTAGACCAGCTCTTCTATCGGTCCCTGCTCGGTGTGGGTTTGGTCTCTGAGTTTCCAGTCACTGGAATGCAAAAATGCATATCGCAAAGTTTTACCGCATGATCAAGGAAGCATTCTGTGAATATAACTATGCACCATAGCAATTCATATTCGCTGCTTCTGGGCGGAAAACAAAAGGCTTGCTGAAGGTGGCAGAGTCGTTGGCGATAAGTTAGGGGTTGCAGGTGTGTCGGAAGGACGTCGAACTGGAGCGGTTCTTGACGTTGACCTATTTTCCTTCATTCCTGCTCCCGCCTTTTCTTTTATTTCAACTCAGCTCTTTAATGAATTTGCTTTGATGGTCGCAAATTCCCTCCTAGATTTGCGGTCGGGCCGAGATCTAGCGGCTTGGCTAATTACTCCTAGGAAGTTCGACCCCTGCAACAATACCTCGCCTCTGCGCATTTTGTGGCATAGTTAACTAAACCTTAGCTGTCAATGTTCCAGAAGATCACCCATGCCTCCGGTCCTCTCGGCTACCTACCTTGGCTAAGGTGGACAATTGACGAGCCAATTTGCCAAACTCATCCCTTCCCGACTCGAAGCCGGCAAGTAAAGGAGACCGAATGCGTTAACATGTTTTACTTAATTTCAGGCTCGAGCAGTGAACGGAAGGCCACTTCAAGGATGTTTCGCGGCCACTGTACGCCTCCGATTCACCAATACTCCCACGGCCATGCACCCACCCAACAATACGCCAATCTCCTCTCGTGTAAGCGGCTTCACCTGATCCTCGCAATATCTCTTGATCTGTGGATATCACGGGTGTCTCAGCCTTGTAGCCTGATTTGAGAACTTTTCCAGTTCCTGGAAGTTTAGACGCCCTCCCAGGTGATCGCAGGGGCAGCTGCTTTCAAAACATCCCGCGATTTAGCATTCTATGGAAGGTTTGAAGCGGTCGATTGTGATGTTGAAGGATTGCTATAAGAGATCATTGGGCTGCTGGTTTATTTATCTAGTAAGGAGATTTAGCACGGGTTTCGGAGGTCAGAAGGAAATGTGCATAGGAATGGAAGTCTACAGGCACACTCGAAGGGGAACAATCTTCGAAGTACAAAGCGATGAAGATATTCTTTTATCGTTCTTCTCTTCTCTATCCCCTCATTGTTCTTAGTCCCTAGCTAGGCTGCTTTTATCTATTTCTTCGAGAGAGATCTCCTCCTTGCCCGTAGCGGCTTTTTCTTTTTTTCTGTGTAAAAGCTACCAGGCCTTCCTTTTTGATCCCTTGCGACATGATTGCCGGGTTGGGCCTGTTTAGTGCTCTTCCTCGCAATCCCATCAATAAGCTCAATAGGCGCGTCGATTCCATTCCCACCAACCTTTCTCATTTTACCTGGGCTGCTAAGTATCCCCGCTTCAACACTCATTGCACGAAGCTTTTGAGGTGCTGATTCCGGCTATCTGAACCCCACTCATATCACTAATGCCCCAAGATTTAACGACGGTGAAGATACACAATGGGCTGCAAGAATTGAGACATTTAATTAATAACTGATTTAAGCAAAAAAAATTGGCCAGCACATTTAATTGACTCGTTGCTGCTTGGCCAGCGAGTCTTTTTCAGAGAAAAAGAAGCAAGGTGAAGCAAATACAACAGTGCATAGGAAACACAAACAACCGAAAAAACCACTGCAGGTTCCCTGTAATGGTCTCAAAGTATCCTTCAAATACAGTTGTCACCTTCACATGATGTGTCACACTCTCCACCATCACTTAGCCTAAGTATATGAAGCAGTGACAATTTTGAGCCTGGGCAATGTTTGCGGCTGCACCGTCCTGCCCTGCATACTCCGTGGGTACACTTGAGGGGGAAAAAGGATTAGCAATCTGATATGTGTTGACTACACATGAATATTACTCACCACATGCCCACATGCTCCACAGTTTTGCGGATCAGAATTGAGATCTTTGCAGCCAGAAGGGCATCGAGTCTGACCAGGAGGACAGGCTGCTTGGCACATTCCACCCACACAGGATTGTCCCTGAGGGCACTGTCAAGCCATGTATTCTTAGCAAAGCCTCTGTATCAAGAAACAGAAAGGTAAGGATGATAACTCACTGCATGGCCACATATTCCACAGTTTTGTGGATCAGAATTGAGATTTTTGCAGCCAGTAGAGCATGGACTCTGACCAGGAGGACAGGGTGGTTGGCACACTCCACCCACACAGGATCCCTGAGCACACTATTGGGTCATGCATGCTTAGCAAAATCTTTGTGTTAATAAACTGAAAATAGGGATGATAACTCACCACAGTGCCACACGCTCCACAGTTTTGTTCATCAGTATTGAGATCTTTGCAGCCAGAAGGGCATCGACTCTGACCAGCAGGACAGGCTGGTTGGCACATTCCGCCCACACAGGATTGACCCTGAGAACACTATTGGGTCATGCATGCTTAGCAAAATCTTTGTGTTAATAAACTGAAAATAAGGATGATAACTCACCACAGTGCCACACGCTCCACAGTTTTGTTCATCAGTATTGAGATCTTTGCAGCCAGAAGGGCATCGACTCTGACCAGCAGGACAGGCTGGTTGGCACATTCCACCCACACAGGATTGTCCCTGAGGGCACTGTCAAGGCATGTATGCTTAGCAAGGCCTCTGTATCAAGAAACAGAAAGGTAAGAATGATAACTCACTGGAGTGTCACATTCTCCACAGTGTTGTGGATCAGTATCAGTATCACGACACTGTTCGTCACATAGCTTCTGGGACTCTGATTGCCCGAAAGGACCACAGATATGGCAAGGGCCCCTGCCCCGGGCAGCTGGAGCAGTGCAGATCCTTCCAGGATTTTCAAAATTATCGGCACACCATTGCGCACAGATTCGGTTGCCAGGGTCTTCCTGCTGGGGAACAGCAGAAGCACCTGTATCAGATTAGTATCGCATAATGAACAAAATGGAGTTGAGAGCATATATTTCAGACTTACAGAGTGCAAGAAGGCTAACGATGAGAAGTTTGACCATTGTGAAAATGTTGCTGTGGATCACTCCTATTGATGTAGACCTATTAGAATGACACTTGGGACGAGGAGAAAAGGACTCTGGGTAGGCCTTCCCTTTTATGCTGTCGATGAGCGCCGCACAGAGAGGGACAATTTATAGAGAGGGAACAAAGTTGTGTCGATTTGCTTCATTTTCGAGATGCAAATGTGGTCGCATAATTTCCTCCCTGCAACACACATGGCATCATAAACATGAAATTCCAGGCTGTACGATGCCGCGCTTTTAAGCCATTCATGGCCGATCAAGCCGACTTTGATCCATAGATTGTTGGCTGGAATGCGGGATCGAGAAATTGACATTCACTCTATTGAAGATATACAGCTCTGGAACCTGCGCCGCCGAGATTTGTCTGCATGGAGAGCAGCGATAACAGTCATAGATTCGTCAATAGAGTTGATGATCAGTCCTCTACTCCAATAGCATCGTACCACCACTCCCGCCCTCAAGGTCCTTTCTTGGTTTGATGCCTGGGTTTCCTCGAAGTGCCGCTGTAGCGGGGAAACCCATCGATATAACGGGGAAGTCATGTCGAACATACCGTATATTGATAGTCAACATGTCTTCTGTTACATTCCCCTTCTCCATTCGCGCCTCCTTCTCCTCAGCGACTCGAGACCGCAACACTCGATGTACGCATATAAGAACTGTGTAGTTCCCTGCCGTCAACAAGCTCTATGGGTCATTTTATTCGTTCGAATTCTAGCAGGAAGCTATTTTGCTATGCTCAATATGGGACCGATTGCATTGCATTTTCTCGATCTCCTGCCGACGAATCTCGTTGCCCGCATACCCCATGCCAGGAGAGCTCTTCGCCTTCGTGCCTGGCAGATCTGGCTCCTTAATGACGCATACATGTCTGAATTTTTTCCTTCTTCAATGCCACAATCTAGTTATCTTTGAGTGAGAAACTGGTTGGGCCCAGTGCGCTTGGTTTGGAAAATGCGACCCGTCCGCCTCGGATATATTTAGGGTTCGGGAGAGCAGCGGAAATCCCGCAACTTAGCGATTTGATCGGCGCCAGCTTAACCAGTGACCTTGTGTCTGCAAAGCCTCAAAACTCTACCATCTTCTTTGGATTCCACATCGTGAGCTGGAGAGACCATCATGAGCGGGCAGTGGTTAGCCTTTGTGAGAGCGCCACAAAGGAACTGTCCACGAATAAGTATCATATTTTTTGTGGTGGCGGAAATGAGATGTCCCTGTCTCCTCCATACAAGGGCGGCTATGGCGTTCGCTAACGAATACGATCATGCGAAGGTCAGTCCAGGCGCGGGAAGGCGTGACGGAAGAGATCTCGCATCCAAAGCGTTCGGTCTTTGAAACAACGGAAGCAGACGCTGATAGGAGCAATGGCTATGAAAGGCTTTGACCATGCTTTAACTATTTCACTCGCGCGGAGCAGGGGGAGAGTCGTAGACCTAGGGAGCTGGTATTGGTCTGTCTTCGAGAGCTGGAGTATGTTCCCCGGCCTCGCTCAGCTTCCCAGGTAGAAAGCCCGAGTGGACTGCTAACTGGTCTACGGAAGCCTGAAACCTCGCGCCACCAGCATTTCTTGTCCACAATAAAATGTGCCTGTATTTCTTTTCTTTCTTGTCACTTATCAAACGAGCATAGTGATGACATATTAGGGAAAAAAGACGGAGATCAGAGAGAGGGAGGTGAGGAAGAGAGGACTGCGCAGAGAGAGCTAACATGAATATGCAGGTACAGCAAGCATTGACCTTGAAGAACGCCAAGTGTGTTGATGAAGCACGGTCCCATCACCCAGCGACTTCTCGGCCCAAGGTCGTACAAGGCTGTGTGAGCGCATTGGTGCCGAAATAACCAAGGGTGATTTCACGGCAGACACCTGCAAATGAATAACTTCTCCAAGAAATAGAGAGGAGCAGAAGGGGACCGAGCGAGGTAACTAAAGGGAACTAGAAACTCAGCCAGATCCATTCGATAGGCGGATCTGCATCCGAATTTGTCCATTAGCAGTACGGAGTATGGAGTATTGCCGCTTATTCCCTCTTGGAGATTGCGCCTTTTCTTCCTTTTTTTTTCTTTTCTTTTCCTTTCCCTTTTTTTTTTTTTTTCAAGAGTCGCCACGGCGTCAGGTTTGTCGTCCAAGAGTGGCCGGGGACCTAGTTAACCCTACAAGGTGTAGTCCTTGTATTCTACAACCTCTTGCGATCGCGTTGTCCACGGCGAGAGACTTCGCCATAAAGGTAGTGGCCGATCTCCGTCTTCCCGTGGTTGCCGACCAGTTCCCCTAGCATTGCCCCCCGACGGAGAGGCGCAGACGGTGATATCGACAGCTACCATCGAGATAAATCGTTAGAACCAGTCCCACAAGACAACATAACATGCTGGAAGGTGTAAGGCCGAATTAGCTTGGCTACCCCAGTCGCCGTGCGATCTTCCTTGTCCCCCCCAACAGATCATATCCGCCCGAAAACATCCGCTTCGTTGCTATCAAGAACTCAATTGATCTTGCTATATGTCGCATCAAAATATCAAAAGGTATGCGATCTCCAACAACCCATTGACCGATATTCCGCGGTTAACACTGCCCCGTCCACTGGGGCGGGTTTCTAGACACCGCGGAGTACTTCCCTATTGCCTTTTGTGATGTTCCTCAGGCGATATAATCAAAATGCCTTTGTTTGCTTTCGAATCGCAGAGCCCGAGTGCTTTTCACCGCTTCGTGACTCTAGAACAACATGTGCGCATCTAGTGAGCTACACGCGGGAACCGCAGCTTGGCCATGAACCACGGGATGTGCGAAGCGGCGTTGAGCCAAAATATTCTTGTGTTAATTAACAGGGAGGAAAAGAGGGCAGTCGATCGAGAACTTCGCGCTTTTGAGCCTTGTCAAATCCCACAGAAAAAATAGAGGCGGGTTGAGTAGCTTCTCGTCCCTATTATCAAAAAGGCAAGTTTGTGAGAGATGAGATTGTCCTGAGTGTTTGTTAGTTAGTTAGCGGTGACTCCTCGCTGCATCCTTGCCGCTGCAAACTCTTGTCGGGTATTATCTGTTGCTTAATTCATTGCAACTATGTCATTTCCGGGATAACGAGTCAACTAACTCATCAGCATGTCCCAAGGGTAAGCAGCAGCTTGACTCTCCATATCATTCGGCCACAGAGGAATGGAAATCATGCTTAGAATTCTTAACCTTCGCCATAAGAGGACAAAATACGGTTCTAAATGAACGAATGGGGGAAGGATCACACATTTTTAGTACCCTTGACAAACAGCTACATGTTGGTTGATGCGGGTTGACTCTCTCAAAGGAGGTACATAAATAATTGGTTTGAGACTGTCTCGAAATACCAAGCATCCTCTCAAGTGCAGGCCTCTCATAAGATTGTCCTCTGTCCCCACGATGCTATGGCGGACGATTTCGACGGCGATTCTGATATTTGCCTGCCATCGGGTCGCTACTCGCGATGATGATGTCGACAAATTAGTGGATTCGCAGACCCTCAAGGACCCATATCCCCATACCTTTACCATTTTCCAAACAGAATAGCGATGAGGCTTCACTGTTTCCGATGCAGCTCTGTCATGGATCCAAATTGGAACAGGCGACCGTTGACAAGGTGTAAGAGCTGCTGTCATCAGGAAAACTCACCAGCATTAAGCTTGTCAAGTGTTATATGGAAAGGATCTATCAAACAGACGGTTACGTGAAGTATGGATTTCCATTCCAAGCTCTGGATAAAGACCGCGTCAACGGACGAACTCGTGGCCCTCTCCATGGGATTCCTTTTTTCCTTAAGGAAAACATGACCACTAAGTACCGCATAGAAACAACGGCTGGCAGCTGGGCGCTGCAAGGCAGTGTTGTCCCTCGCGATGCCTACGTAGTTCATAAATCGCGCAAGGCTGGCGCGTTGCTACTTGCAAAAGCCGGAATGAGCGAATGGGCCGAGATTCGCAAGATGGATTATTCTCAGGGATATGCCGCCTTTGGAGGACAAGGTCGCAGTGCTATAATTTCACTGTATACCCTGTTGGAAGCAGCTCAGGCTCTGCGATTGCGGTATCTATTAATCAGGCGCCTTTCGCATTGGACACTGAGACCGACGGAAGTGGCAATTATGCTATCTGTTAGATATATACAATCATAATATGGAAATTTGCTGATATGTGGAATAGTTGTCCAACCCGCGGAAAGAAATTCTACTGTTGGCACCAAGCCCACTGTTAGCCTGACATCCCGTTCAGGAGTACCGATATCCGGCCATCAACTTGGTAGGAACGTTGGGAAAGGACAGTTCGCGACGCCACACATGTATTGGATGCAATCTATGGTATTGACAGACGGAATAATTATACACTGGCACAGAAGGGGAAGACGCCCGGAGAGGGTGGGTATTCCCAAATCTTGACAGATAAATCTGCGCTCAAGGGCGCTGCATTTGGAATACCTTGGAATTCTTACTGGAGATTGGAGATTCCGCTCAAATCGCTCAGCTTCTGGAGCTCGTCGATCTGATTAAAGGTGTGGTTACTACCATCGTCAGCGGCACAGAAATTACCGATTATGAGAGGATTATTCCTCCGGATGGATAGGACTGGGAATGGGGAACCAAATGCGGATATGCAAACGAATCTAAGTACATGATCATGAAGGTGGATTTCTACAACGACCTTCGGGCCTATCTTTCTGAACCGGAGAATACGAATACTCGGTCCCTCGAAGATATTGTTGAATATAACTATAACGACGACGGAACCAAAAGCAGACATCCCGATAGCCATCCCGCCTGGCTAGCTGGACAAGACAGCCTTCTTGCGTCGCTACCAAAGGCATTTAAAGTGATCTCATAATGGTATCAACGACGCTCTACGCCATCGTGACCGCTATTTGGACGGTCTTCTCGTACCAACAAACGTCGGGCAAACTTGGATGATGCCCGCTCAGGCCGGATATCCCGATGATCTCGGGGAGAACGCCGAGTCTGGTGTGCCGTATGGATTGGCAATCATGAGCACTGCATTCTCGGAGGCGAAGTTGATCAAATACGCGAGCGCAATCGAGGATCTTCCGATTAGTTCTGGCACCCAGTATTGGCGGATTCTGCCCAAGTGGCTTGGATATAAGAGGCGGAATATTCCTTTGTATAACACGATTTAGACATCGGTACGCAGGTAAAAGTCTGAATCATGGCTAAACACAAGCATATTTGCAGTTCCCTTGAACCTCGGTAGAGTTGCATCATAGAAGAGGATGGGGAGAGAGAGAGAAGACATAGTTCAAGTAACTGTGGAAGTTAAAGCAATTGAGAAATTGCCCCACGGCAATTATCCGTAGTAGAGGACCATATCAAAAAAAAAAAAAAAAAAAAAAAATATAAAAACGCTGGGTGCTTAGTAGCCAGCGAAACCCACACCCTCCCTGTTTGGCTATTCCACACGGCCGCCCATAGACTTCGATTTCGTTTTATCTTCTCTAAATACATGAGGGGCTTTTTTTTTGTTAACGGTTTACTTATGTTGCTATTTTCAGGCCGTTTTCATACACTAGTAACTAGTATTGAAATGCCGTTGCTTTGATAAAGGTTTCGTATGGTGTACAAGCACCAAGCGCACGTCTCATATGAGCATTTAGAAACTGGAGTCCGTAGACAAAACTTGCATTGACCCAACCGAACCTAAAAGATGCACACAGAGCGGTAAGCGGGGAATCACAAAGGTCCGTTAGAAGTGGATTACTTACCCTTCTCTTGAGACACCCTTGAAGTCACTTCCCTGATTCCCATACTCGGCATCCACACGATGCGGATCAATTGGCCTCGTAACGTCATATTTCTCTACAACTGCACCATTGAAGTCCACAAACGCTTTGGTGATCATGTACAGCCATCTATACGCTAGCCCTTCAGCTTCGTCTTGATATCCGTAACGTAAAAGTCCCGTCCACGCGAGCATCTGCTGCGGTGCCCAACCATATGGATAATCCCATTGGCGGTTGGGACGGTCAATACCAACGACACCTCTCGACTCTTCCGTTCCCGACACAAGCCCACCGTATGCTCGGAATAGGGGAAGAGCTTTGCTGACAAGTATCGACGCTTGTCGAGGGGTTGCAACGCCGGCCCACATGGTCCAGAAAGTGGTTGCGCTTTCGTAGGAAGTCATCTCCTTTTTGACGGTGTCATAGTCGAAGTACATGCCTTTCTCTTCATTCCACATGTACTTGTCGATAAGCGCCTTTCTTCGCTTTGCACGACGATCCCATAGTGCAGATGACTCAAATTCCCTTGCCTCATTCCCCTTTGCGCGGAACTCGGGGGGAATATATAGTTTGTCCTTAAAAAAATCGCGGATTGTCCGGGCGATGTCGACTTCGTATTTATATAATAGGCAATTAAGGTCAACTGTCGCTAGGTTGGCGCATACCTTTTCAAGGCGGTATGAAGTGTCGTGTCCCGACTCCCGGACTGCTCGATCATGCAGGAAATACTCGTCCAAGTCTGGAACCTTAATCTCCCCGCTGTTATATGCCTGGACAAACTGATCAAAAGTCATGCCGTGTTTCTCAGCATAAGGGGTTAAAATATGATAAAAATGAGTCGGCTCGGTCTCTGGCGGAACACCAATGCCGCCCGGACGGTATCTCGATAGCCCCGTATCAGGATCAAGTCTCGGCTCGGACATCCAGATACTATGATACTCTTTAATCGCAGATAGCATAGCATGGCGAAGAAACTCTAGTGAATCTGGCTCCGGTTTAATACGTTCATAGACTCTCAATGCCATGTCTGTGAGAAACGGAGGCTGAGATCGGCAAAGATAATATGAGCGGTTGGCGTTGAGGATCTTCCCGTAATGCTTGATGCAAAAGCAGAAGTTTATGACCATACTTTTCGCCAGATCAACCCTGTCGGATACGAGAAGCCCAAGGGATTCCATGTAGCTATCCCATCCGTACAATTCATTGAATCGTCCGCCAGGGACCACATACGGCACGCCTCTCAAATCGAGTTTTCCAGTGACCGGGTCGACATATTCCTCCATTGCCAGTGCCAAAAGCCCGGGCTTATTGTTCAAGTCCCTCACAAATTCAGCGGTAATCTCTTCTTCCGGTGGAAGAAGCTGAACATCCAAACGCACACCAGGTTGTGATTCTGCGATCTTTTTATAATATTCATACTGCTCCGGCGCTCCTGGAGGTACGTATATCCGAGGTCGCGGGTCATCCGTCCAATCCTTCGGATCTCTCCCAACAACATCAATATTAGAGCCGTCAATACGTCGCGTGAGAGCTTTCCAGAACGAATTATTGATTAGCCGAGACAAGCGGCTAACGGGATTTTCATTCAAGCGCTGCTCATCGAGAACGATATGTTTTCGCCCATAGTCCTTCGCGATGGTTAGCTCTTGGAGGAGGTTCGAAAGCATGTAGGTGCCCCTCAAATCAAATCTGTTGAAGCCGGACGAGGCGGCAGTACCGACAGAGAACACCTAGACAACACAGCGATTAGATCTTTGCATTTGAAAGCATTATAGTCATTTCAATGGCAATACCTTCGGCCCCTCATCCTCAATTGTTATCTGCATATTTCTGTCCGTATCTTCCCTTTCAAGCAATGCCTCCAATGTCGCATCGACGTCGATGAGGAACCTTCGGGGATGGGAAACCTCATCTACAGTTACAAAGTACGTTAGCACTAATTTGCAAAGACGAATCTCAAGCCATTCAAGAAGGAATTCAGCGGTACCCACCGTGACTAGATCTCCTGCCGATAAAAGCACTTATCTCTGTAAAATCAAACCGCTTCAAAGACTAAAGACGAGCTGTAAGCAAGGGAGCCTGATCGATGCATCATGAAGAGTTGCAGGCGGCCTTAAGAGAAATTGAGACTAACCGATGAGTGTGCCCGCTTGTGAGTCCGAGCATGCTGTCCCACAATGCTCTCGTTTCCGCCGTAGTAGATGTCAGGATCGGAGAATGGATCAATACCGTCAGAGCTCGACCGAGAATGCCTTGAACTCGCATATGACGAGTTCATCCTACACGACGGACTGCAGTTTGCTGTTTTAGCGATATTAATGTACCGCCGGGTGTTCGAGTTCAAGGTCTGAGGTACGAATGGAGCTGGAGGTCAACGTGCTAGGGAGAAGATGGTCGGCGGGGAGGTTGAACGAGAACTTCGAACACAGGCAAATGCAAGACTTTGCCTGCTACGTCCGAAGACCGTGGAGGAAATGAGCTCACCCTTGAAAAGGTGGAGAAGATGGGCCGGGTGCAAGGTATTTGTGGATGTCACTCGTAGTATGACAGAGTCAAGCCGCCAAGGTGTGACGTTCAGCCGTTACAGCCAACCAGCCTGGAGGTCTCTGGCAAGGCCGATGATAACCTGGCTAGTGATTTCGGGGCTTTTTTTTTTTTTTGCTTTGCTTTTCGATTAGATAAACGGCGAAGAAGAATGATTTGAGACAAAGCAGGATTTTTGGGAGAGCTTACCACAGGAAGGCTTTCCAGATTTTTTATCTCTTGGTCGCTGACAATTCACTTTGTAGAATTTAAAATACCCTTCGGAGGTATGAGGCACCTGATAGCTGCTATGATGTAAGTAGCCCGACTCCACCCGTCGTGTCTACTCACAAAAGCCAAAGGAAGATCTGGATTCAAGAGAATTACCCTTCTAGCACAAGGCCCGGATTCAGTGTGAAGAGGCAGCCACTTTAAGAGTGCTTGTCTCTGAAGATCAGATGAAGCATATAAAGGAACATGAAGAGAGTGTGTAATCCTTATTAAAGAAAAAATCCCCAGCCCTTTGTGTAAACCTTCCAAAAGTCCATGTCAAGATCTCAGAATGGAACTGAATTTTTAACACCATCTACCCCTGCTATCTCATATCAATCCAATGAATTCAAATCAGAAACTCTGCCCAGCAAATACAAAGACAACAATAATCTGAGAAAACTTGACTTAGAGAGATATTTGACTGTGTGGCTTGTTCAAAATACAGAGTAAGTTTCCATTCATTAATTATACAACTACTTATAAGCACATCCAGAGAGTGCAACTTCAGAGCATTAAAGATTTTGAGTACAGAGTGTTACAGAGAGCTAAAGAATATCTATAAGTATGAGATACTTGAGCATCTGCAAGATTTGTCATATGCAAAAATCCTGCTAGTTCTTGGCGACGCCAAGGATAAGAATTGCACCACCTTTGTATGGCAACTCCCATAGAAACCAGATAGTCAAAGAACCACTGTTGATTAGCAAGAATTTCACAAGGAAATAGGTCTATATCAATTGATATTTGAAGCCCTGTTTATTACCTATTCTGATAATTTTTACACAATGCCTGTGAGGATTGTACATGTGGATCAGCGTGACAATGAATCTCTAGGAGAATGTTATGAATGTAGACCTAGACCAACCAAGCATTGGATGATGTTGAATGTTCAGGGGAACTCACATGACCTCCAACTCTGAACATATAAGGATCACACAATTCACATGGGTTGTGGGAACCTCAGCATTCAGTCTCCTAGTTAGAGAGTCTCTATATTCTACACATGACTTCCTCTCATCAGTTGCAGGCATTGGACCTACTTAGCTCTTTCATACCTTATTCTGGAAAAACCCACATACCTTGACAAGGCATTCTATCCTACCCCACTTCAGTATTCTGAAGATCTCTGGATTCACTCTGATAAATAAGAGCTGAAGGCAAAGCAATTCTATCTGCAGAGACTGAACAGAGCAGTGAGAGAAATTCCCAGCTTTCATTCTGAGTTACAATAGTTTTATCAGCTTGTAGAGCTTTAATAAAGATAAGATACTTCAAGATATAATAGAAGTCTAGAAAAAATTCTTTTTTATTAAAGTTGTATATGTTTTCTGGTATAATATTATACTAACTGATTTTCTTAACTAAATACAGCAGTGCAAGCACTTAATAAGTTAGCTAAATTTAATAACTACACTTGCAAAGAAGCAAAAAAAGCATTAAATTATAAGACTATAGAAGTGCTGAAAGCAGTGATAATTATCTACTATCTGTTTATTCTTGTTAAGCAGCTTGAGATAAACAGACTTGATCTTGTTCTTGTGGTACTCACAAAATTATATTATCTAGTTGATTCTTATATTCTCTTCTGTTATCTTTTGCACAATATTTTAAAGAATTTAAGATGTAGAAGTAAGACTGCAGTCACAGAGCTTATTTATATACTCTAGAAGCTCATTCTTCTGTATATTGATGAGCTTCTTATATCTGGAGATTGCTTTATAGTGATTGACTTGAAGATCTTGATACTGCTGGTGCAGAGTCTCTTGACTAACTGAATATTTTTTTGCAGTTGCACTGTAATTTAGAGTCTCTTGTGATTCAAGATCTTTAATTCTAAGCTTAATTGCTTTGTTGTTGACCATGCTATTGCATATTGAAGTTGAGTGTTGAAGAAATTTGATGGTGTGAAAATTTGGCTTGTTGAGTGCTTTGGCTCGTTGAGTGGTGAGCCACCTTAGTGTTAATAATTTCTATCCTCCCATCAGAAGCATCTTACTAAGGCCAGCGGATATTTATATATAATCGCCAATATTCCACGCCCACCTCACCTTACAAGACTTGTTTCGAAGATTAAACGATTGCAAGATGATGGCCATTTCCCAGAGTGTGAAATACAACAGCTGCGACTTCTTCCCGTGAATCAGGGATTGGATTGGAAGGAACCTGCTCTGATAGATCCAATAGAATGTTGGAATGATACAATCTCAGCAGAGAGTCTATTTCATGCCATGCGCTTAACCCTACAGCAGGGATCGGATTTTGATGTACTGAAAGGTGGTGAAAAGGTTTCTCCTGAAAAAAAAAAGGAAGGAATATCTGCAGCTTTATCTCAAGCAATGCAGCCTTTGAGAAATGGGGATAAAAGAGATCGGTATTCACTAATGAATATTCGGCTACCGAATGAGTTTCGGCAGCTACAGCCCCAATCAGGCCCTTCGAAACCAGCTGAGCATAGCTTCTTCGGAAAATCTTCCACTCGGAATGAATTTTGCACCTGCTCGAACTTTTGTTGATCTGCATATAGGTGACTCGCATCGGATCTGGCTGCTATACCCCCCTACGGAGGACAATCTCCGCACATTCACAGAGTTCTCTGGCGAAAGCGGCCGTCTGACAAAGATTTCAGGTCGACTTGAGGAAGGATATGTGGCTGAGATTGACCCTTCGATGGTGCTATACATGCCGCCGGCATGGATTCACGGAACGTTTACTACAGAGCCGGAGGGTTGGTCGGAGTCAACTTTGAGTCCCTCGAGGGGTTGAAGAAAATGGCACAAAGTCTTGCCGCCCCATGTTCCATATATGTTTCGCCTCCAGGAAGCATTTAATGATGACCTAGGTGTATATCAGGGAGCAATCCAGGCGTTCTTGGACCATGAATATGCACCTAGTATCATTGAGACTGTGTTGGAGAGTTGGATCATATTTGCCAATTCCGTTGAGGTATCATTTCCCGGATTAGATATCTGGAGTCAGAAGAACCTGGGCCACTGGCGCAAGGTGTTTACTGATGTCTGGAGAGAAGGAGCCTCAAAAAAGTCTAGTTCTTGCTGTGGACGCAATTTCAGTGATGTCTATCAGCATATTCAGGCAAAGCATCTATGGGAGCCCTGTGCTTCCTGAGGCATTCATCATGTGCTGACCTGATTGCGCAACTTCAGAGCTATGTTCACCTCTAGCTTTCATTGTGTATAAATAATCTGTCCGCTTTTCGGCTTCCTGCATCGCTCTTCCGCGGCATGTTGACTGCCGATATAATTTTATTTTGTCCACCGGCCCAGGTGGAAAGCCATGCAGCAAGAGCTCAGGGATTTCTATTCCTTGCTTTGATGGAAATACCGGGTTTCAGGAAGAACATGACGGCCAACCACAGGGGGATGGATGCCGCACTCCGTCACTCCTACACCTAGTGACGACGTGATCTAGTATACCCGCTCCTTACAGCTACTACTGTGGCAGTTCTGCTTTAAGCAAAGGCTAGAGAAGAAGGCGGGTCAGCTCCACGACACTCAGGATTGGACAGCGGGGGAAAAGGCCGCGGATCGTGATCCAGACAACATGGAGGGCTTGAGATAAAGCAGAAAAGGTTTGCCGCAATGGGGCAGACGGTGCTGATGCCGCACGGTGGTTTGAGATGCTAGCAGAATAAAGATACAGCTATGATATTTTTCATCGCAATGATTCAATTACACCGCGCGAGGGCGATGCCGTATATCTGTTGAAGCTTACCTCCTTGGGGTTCCGTATGAGAAAGGTCGAGCTCACGCCGGTAGCTGGCGAGGCTGAGCGAACATTTTCTTGGGGTCAACACGTTCAGGACCCATCGCCACCGCAAATCAAGTGTCATCTGGAGGATTTCTGTTAAAGTGCTTGGGGGGCTTTCGGGCCGGCGGGCCGAGCCGTGAGTCTCGCAAGAAACTGATTTGCCGCTTGTGACTTTAAAATCAGAAGCTGGTGCAGAGAGTTGAAAAGAGGAAAAGCCAGTGAGAAGAGAAAGAAAGATTGGTAGTTGTGTTATGTAGTGGTTATGAGACGGCTTGGAAACAGAGATGGGTGGCCTTGAATAACAAGGATTTGCACCAGATACTCGACGATATAGCCCCTGTCTTGTCGCTAACCCCGCCACCGGGACAGCGCTCCGCCGGGGACCAGGAATCCGATCAGGACATTGAGGCCCTCCGTACCTGTCCTAGCCGCTCAAGTGCCAATTCCACTGGTCTGGTTGCCGCCTCTGGCGTCCCGTACACAGGTAGAGCTAGGAGACACTTCAGGTAAAATTTGTTTAGATCTCACCCTTGCCACTTCCGATTCTAACATGTACTAGATATCCAAATTGTGATTACCGATGACGATCCGCGCTTGGGCGATGACAGAACCCTGGCCAGGGTGGACATTTCGCCATCAGTACCTTCTCGGGAAAGACCGCAGGACCCTCAGGTAGCCGGGAGCCGGGAGCCGTCCGAGGGCTCTCTTATGCCGCGTGAAGGAACAGCTCAACCCAGACAACGACGCGGTTCCTCCCACCAGGGCGTCCAGCGTGCACAGCTATCCTCACAAGAGGATAGCCAGTATGAATGCATCGAGTTCGTCGACATGACCAACACAACTGCTGGCGACGGTTCTCAAAGAACAAGCAACAAGCGGCCAGAGATAATCATGTCAAAGTCTCTTCCCCCCGCAGGAAGCCACGGGAAGTCGGCGATAATCTGGATACAGGTCGGAAACGTTGGTCCCGCCCACAGCGTAAAAAGCCTCGTAGCTCCCTTATCCACTTCCCCAACTTCGTCAGGCCTAGTACATGGGACTATGTCGATGATCAAATCCCAAAATGGTATCTCCAATGGCAGAAGGTGGACCAAAGATGATCATCTTTTGGCTACTTCAACGTAATGTTCGGGTGTATTTGCCCTATAGAAACAATATGTGATGCTGCTGATTCCTCAATTTTCTCATGCATATGCTCAGTCATCATGAGAGCGTCTCTAATACGAAAGAATTCTCGCTCAACTTGGAAAGTCTGGCTTGTATAAAATATTTGGAGCTATACGCGGTAGCAGAGGGTCACTTCCTTTGTGGCCATGGCCTATAAACGCAGGAAATCTGGAGAAAAACCGGAAGAAGAAACAAGGAATTGGCAAGTGGCAGGTTAGATAGAGAATAAGAAGCTAAGAATGGCTCATCCAGGTCGCCCATTGTGAAGAGTGAACCCAGAGGACAGAATCAGCGCTGTTCCAGTATTAGGTTTAACCGTATGAAGTGTCGTTGTATTCTCGTCATTAAATTCGTAGATTAAAAGGCCGATCCCGTTACATTCAACGAGTCTTGCGAAATGCTCGCAGTTCATGGCATCCCAAACCACCCATTTCCCTTGTAAAGTTTTGCGTAATATCCGCCGCTTGGAAGAACGAGCTTGAGTGTGGGGACGATCATATAGACTAAATTGAATCGAGCAATTAGAGCTGTATTATTTTATTATTTGCGAAAAAGAGGCGGAAGAGAAAGAACATAGATGGATGAAAGGCATCTCATGCAGCGATGTACAGTAGATAAATCTTCCGCCCCGTAAAGCTGCCGAAATTTCAAAAGGCCTAATTAACCAAAAGGCTTCTCACCAAACACAAGCGAGAGCCCAGGCACAAGGGCCAAAAGCAGCTCCAGACAATTAGACCGCAGTCTCCTCCTACTGCTGAAAATCACCGCATGTCGCTAGGTCTCCATCGCTAGACGACTGGAAGCTGTTGAATAATGCCATTTCTCTTCTCTGCAACATACAGATGCTGGTTTCCTGGCGCCGTTGCACAGTACAGAGATTGTCTGATGCCATCACCTGAGAGTCTACCAGCACCGGTGGCTGCTGGTGTGACAATGCCCTCCTCCAAAATCCAGTCGGACACAACATTACCTTGTGAATCCAGCAGCTGTATTTCAACACTGATTTGTTGCCGCCAGACTATTCCAACAGCTGTTGTTACTGGGACGTTTGCGCCGAACCCCCTGTAGGTTGAAGGAATGGCCAAATCAACCAGATCTGTATCAAAGATTGTCATGGTATTACTTCCAGTGTCATTGAGCATTGTGACATCAATTGAGAACAAAGGGGATAAGAGGCCCGAAACTGGCCTAACTCGTGCGAATATCTAACCGATTTAAGGATATGTATCAGATGTGTATGGCCGAGTTAATACTCTAGAGGTTTGGAATACTAACCTCGTGTCCAAGGCCTTGACCTGCTGGTTAGTGAGTGTACATCGTGCGATGTGCCAGTTGATGGTTCGAAGGCTGAAGGGGGGATGGATGTATGTCAGCCAATCAGTCTTCACAAGGATGTACTAGATGAAGTAAAAATGCGTACACTCTTGGACATGGGCTGAGAAGGCGCACAAGATGGCTCTGGCATAGTAGCTGGAATCATAATCTGGGAGGATAGTTGCTGGCCATAACCCTAGGTTGAAACGAGGGTAAGCATGATGGGTGCATAGATCTCGGGTTTGAAGGGAAATACCTCAACCCAGAAAGGCCGCTGGAAATCAATATCCTTATGGCGAACAACTTTGCCGTCCTGAATCCATTTAAACCGTCCTGGGAGCTCTTTTGTATGACACAGGTTGATAGCAGTCTGGAGGTTTAGCTTTTGTGGTTCATCAGTGGCAGGGTTGTTGATCATGGCCTGCAACTCTGCAATACGGCCTGGCACATCCCACTGGATGGGGTTGGGGAATGTAGGCAGCGGCTTGAAAGGGCGCGACATGGCTTGCGAGATAGAGATGGAGACGAGATGGTGGTGAAGGGTGAGGATGGGGGAAGAACCGTCTGCGGTTTGAATGCGAGTGGGGTTGAAACTAAGAGATGACTCCTGGCCACTCAAAAAGACCTGGGGCACGTGACTCAGGGCAAAACTGTTTTATCCAACTACTCCGTAGTTAAAACGGGAAAATAGCAAGCAAACTTAACATATTTGACTTTGCCATCTTTACGGTTAAGGTTTTTGGACCGTGGACTGGAAGGAGAGCTGAAAACAAATATCGAAAAAGCCCCGTTATATATTGGAATCGTACATATGGTAATAATATCATGAATAGCATCAAATTAGAGCTTCGCCGCAATAGCGCTACCCCCATCCACCGTTATTGTTGCTCCGTTAATATATGAGCCGGCACGGCTACTTAGGAACAGACAAGCTCCAGCAACGTCCTCAGGAGTGCCGATACGATGCAGTGGGATACCAGCTTCGATCGAGTCCTTGAATCTCTTTAGCGTAGCTGCCATCATTTTGCTCTCGAACGGGCCGCAGGCGAGGGTGTTGGATCTAGAAAGAGTTAGCTTTCACTCAGTTGTAACTTTTTATTGTCATACACCTATTCCGGGGACACTCACGTAATATTTCTCTGGCCCAAATGGTGGGCCAACACGCGGCTAAGATGGTGCAAGCCTGCCTTGCTGGAGCTATATGCGAATGTCTCGAGGGAGGGAACACGGAGACCGTCAATGCTTCCAATGTTGATGATTCTGGCAGGATCCAAGGGCTTCGCTGCCTTCTCGAGCAATGGTGTGAAGAGCTGAGTGACCATGAAAACACGGTGGAGGTTGAGCGTCAGCACACGTGTCCAGGCGGAAGAGGGATATTCATCGTATGGTGCGCCCCAGTTGGAACCGGCGTTGTTCACTAGCACATGTAGTTCTGAGGGATCGTGAGCACGGAAAACCCCAAGAACGGAGCTAATAGAAAGGACCTACTATCTTCTCTCTTAGAAAATTCCTCGAACAGTCTCTTGCAGTCTTCTTCCTTGTAGAAATCGGCGCGGATAGCATGGGCCTTGCCTTTCCCCAGGGCATTGAGCTCAGCGCAGGCTTTCTCACACGCAGCAAGGTCACGAGCGGTGATATACACGGTGGCACCGTTGGCAACGTAGCCCTCAGATATCATACGGCCAATGCCTTTGGCGCCGCCGGTGACCAGCACAACTTTGCCCTGTCCCGGGGTGAGCGGGGGCAGATCATCAGGTAAGATGGAAGGAACTGCTTACCTTGACGTCGAAAAGCGATGACGAATCCATTGTATCAATAGAGAAAAATTGGGAATGCACTGAACAAGTGATGAAGCTGAATTGAGATGCCCTCGGGTTGGTGTTGGGGAAAAAGGTCGAGTGTTAAAGGGACCGACTCCCGCTCGCCAACAAGACGGCGACTCCGCTGGAGCTCTCAAACAGCCGAGGCACGGAATAACTCTTCCAGTCTCGGCGTTTAGATTCGCCGACGCCATCCCAAGTTATCTAATCAGATTCGGATAAATAATTTCCCGATCTTATCGAACCTTGGGGCTTGCGACCTTGGGTGACAATTTCTCCGTGGTGGGCTGACCGGAACGGCACGGTCAAAGTGTTTCGATGTTCCTGCAACTATTAAATCATTAAGTATCCAATCTAGTCGTGTTAGATTTGCGTGTACTCGACTCTTCTAGACCTGGGATGGAAGAACTCCAAGCCAAACACCGCAAGGAGCAGCGCGACCTGCAATCCCGCATCACCCAGAAGAAAAAATCCGCGACCAAAAAGACCCGCAAGGGTGTGAACGACGAATGCGAACGATGGCAGCGGGAGCTCCTGGAGCGTCAACAGACCGAAATTGCGGAGCTAAACGGCGACTTGAATCCCCCAATAGAACACTTTGACAATCTGCATATCACGGACAACGACCAAGCGCCCGTAACAGCCAGCGGCCCAACAGATGCAGACGCCAGTAATGCCCCACCTGTACAATCTACACCAACCCCTTCCGCCGCTCCTCCTCTCGATGGTCCATCCCAGCAGCCCACTAAAAGGCCCAACCGCCAAAAAGCCCGACTTGCCCGCCGCGCCGCTGAACGTGAAGCCGAAGCCGAAGCCGCCGCTGCTGAAGCAGCCAATCAAACAGATCACCGAAGTAACGAAAAGCAGGCCATGCAAGCTGTATTTGACCGCCTGGGCCTCAAAGAACGAGACATCGCGCCCGACGGCCACTGCCTATACTCGGCCGTCGCGGTGCAATTGGCGGAAGTCGGTGTGGATTTAAGCCTCGATGAACGGACCCCGGCTGCCAAGTCCACTGGGGAGAAACAGCGATCGACCAGGAATGATGGGTATAAAACTGTAAGAGCCACAACGGGAAAGTTTGTACTGGCCAATGCGGATGATTTTGCACCTTTTATCGACGAACCCCTAGAGGAGTATGCGCGAAAGATCATGTTTACCTCGGAGTGGGGCGGGCAGTTGGAGTTGCAGGCGATGGCGAGGGCATACGGTGTGGAGATAAATGTGATTCAGGGAGATGGACGGAATGAGAAGTTTGAGCCGGGGGACGATAAAGGAGGGGAGAGAAAGAAGATCTGGTTGGCGTATTACCGCCATTCTTACGGGCTTGGAGAGCATTACAATGCCCTGTCATGGGTTGCTTGAGGGAACGAGGCTCACATAAAGGTTTGTACATTCGATTGGGATGCTATATGTACAGAAAGGGGGGAGATACGTGCCTTGCACAGACATGCGGATGCAAATGCGATGAACAACAATAACTTCCGTACGCTAGATGCCAGTATATGTGACGAAACGATTAATCCCGTCGACGCCAAATCGAGACCCAGTCCAGCACATTTCCCTTGTCATCCATACCAACCGTGTGGGTCCTCTTAGGCTGCCAGTGAGCGACGCGCTCAAGACCTTTGTCGCTAGGTTGTTGGAGTGGATTGCTCTTGACATGACCCTTGTCGTCATATGGGATATCCTCACCGGGATGGCTGAGATGTTCCATATACATGGCGGGTGTAGAGGCGAATGGAGGTCCCAAAGCGGCAGGGTCCTTTGTTGTTGGGAATTCGAGGCAGATGAGATTCCCGCGAGGTGATGGTGCTAGTAATTGACGGTGGCGGAGCGCCCACTGTGGTCGAAGAGCTGGGTTCAAAGCACAGAAAAACTGCATTGGTTGTCAGTCCGATGTTTCTCCTTAAGCTCAAGACGGACAGAATCAAAAGATAACAGCAACATCGCCAGAAGGATGCTTTATACTCACCGTATAATCATAGATCAAATCAAAAACGCCATCTTCCACGCCGGCCTCCTTCACCCAATCATCCTTGAAAAAATCTCCTTCCAGGAACGTGACCTTCCCACTGCCCACCTTTTCATCCCTAGGAGGGACCTTCCCACCCTCTCCATACTTCTCCATCTCCTTCAGACACACGTCCACCGCTGTCTTACTATACTCCAATCCATACGCATCATACCCAAACGATGCCAGGAGGAAGACGTCCACTCCCCTCCCACAACCGGGAACCAGCGCCTTCTTCCGGCGCAACGGCTCATCCTCGAAAACAGGGGCGCCGAAGAACCCGCGTTTTTCTACCAAGGCGTCTTCAAGGGCGGGATTGTGTGAACCCCGGTCCCAAGGAGTGCGGGATTCTTTCCAGAGATCGTCCCAGACTTCCCCCTGGTTACGGCCGTCGAGGTTCTTGAAGCGATCGCTCAGGTTAGGGGCGGAGCGGAGGATTTTGTTAGCCATTGTTTCGATTGTGAGTAAAGGAGGTAGGCGTCGTGGTGTAAAGGAAGCTGGTGGTAGTGATTGTGGTAGTGATGGTGGGGGCGGGGTATTGTTTGTAGTACTTTTTGAAGACGCAGATTGCGATGGCTTTATTATCTGATTGTTGTGATGACAAATCGGGGACTTTGAAGACGCCGATCTAGAAATGAAAGTTAAAAAGATTAGTTAATGTATGGGGCTGTGGATATGGGAAGCTGGCGAGAGCGGTTGGACGGGTTGAAAGAGCAAATACCTTGTTGATATGCACACTCTATCCACGGTCGGCCTGCAATTGGCGACGGATGAAGGCAAAGTTGGACATGCTCGTCCTCGTATTATCCCAAATCGCATTGAACCTACTGGGAGATCGGAGTCTGGATGGTGGTAATTGAAAAACGCAATTTTGATAGATCTTGTGATCTTCCATCAGAGTTATGTGCACTCTAGATTTGCAGGACTGTGATACATATTACAGCCCGCCATTTCAACAGGCCCGTCTTCCGGTCGCCTTGACCCGGCCCACCGTTGGTCTGCGGTGGGTGCTGGCGCGGTGTGCGTCGACGTCATCCGTCCCGGGCATGCGATGGCCAGAAGCCCGAAGCCCGATCGCCTGCGCCGCGACTAGACGGGCCGAGACCGCACAAGCCGCTCGAGTGGCTGAATTTTTCCTCTCGGGACAATGATAACCCGCCACCCTCAGCCGCGGTTCGGTTCCGGCTATTACCTAATTGCTCGGTACGATGAGTCAGCATGTCGGCATTTCCCCAATTGCTCATTGGCCGGAGCACTCTGCGATCGGAAGTTCGGCACGTCCTGTGGCTTGACCATCTAGTCCCGAGAAAGTACGAGAAGCAGAAAGGGGAATGCCCATCGCCATGCGGAATACTCATTCCCAGGCTGACCAGGCCAAAAAAAAAAAATTTATGGTGCTGAGGATGAGATAATTTATATCAGATTGTGAACAAACATGTATATCATCCGAATGTATCTGCAGTACATACCAAAAGTGGCCCTGATCCTGCAACAAAGCTTTCCCCCGGCTCTCGGGAGTTCGCCGTTGGCTCTCAACATGCGCAGAAAGCGAAATGGAATGGATTGGTGCCGGGAGCTAGACCAGGAATAAATCCTCCCCCGCACGCTGGGGGTTTTAGTGGCAACGCTGGTATTCCCGTCGGATCCTAACAACGGCTTGCGTTGCCAGCAGGTTATGAATCGAGAAATGTCGTCAGATGGACCAATACAACTCCTCTGGTGTTGGGAATGTATTTCATGGGATATCAATCTTCGCAACATGAATCTTTAAGCTATATTCTTTTGAGTCATTTGATAACTGCAAGTAGCGCTACAACCCTGCTTGACCATAGATATATCAGCTCGCAAACTAGATCCACCCGTTCAAAGGAACCGCCTTGGTTAATGTGGAGCCGAACAAGTTTAGTTCGTCAACCAGGGAATCCTAATAAATCTTGGCTACTTTCCGTTCTCCAGTTTTTGAAGAATTTTTGATATTTTTTAATTTGACTCAGTCCCCTGACATCCTTTAGGATTGTTCTGTTGGCCTTATCGGTTACCTTAGACTATCCGGAATGCTTGATACGATGCATCCCGGAAGCAAAAGAGAATTTCCTTAGTATCCGATTTAGAACCGCTCCTTGGACCTTTCTCAGGCGGAGAAAAAAAGAGGAGGAAAAAGCGGAATGATAATTGCTTCCTTGAATGCCTTTATATTCAAGTGCCGAAACATAGCCTACGAGATATACAGTCAGAACCTACGCCAGCACATAGTGGAAGAAGTCTACATCAAATTCATTCCATTAAGCCAAGTGCATTATGGTTAGCTAGGTGAACAGGTTGATTCGAAACCGTTGCATATGAATAAGTACGCATCATGACCGACTCCGAAAAGACCACAGCCGTGGCCGTCAGCCAGTCTACCCTCGAGCTGGACGAAAAGCGGCCCGACCCTGGGCCTCATCCGGGAGAAGCAAAAAAGAAGAGTGCACCAGAGACTCAGTTGGAAGATGAAGGTGGGAGTAGCAGACCATCGTCCGTCCACACAAACCTTTCGGATCGAGAACCGGTGGAAAATTTGGAGCTCGGTCCTGTCACAACCGGGTCAAGCGTCTCCCCTCCTCCCGTTTCGATTCCGATGAGCAAGCGACGCGGATTGTTAGCCCAACTTGCATTAGTGCCAGAAGTTGAAGAACCAAAGCATTATCCCCGAAAAACTAAATGGTTCATTACCTTTGTCATTGGCGTTGCTGCCATGGCTGCGCCCATGGGAAGCGCAATCTTTTTCCGTTCGTGATCCTCTGTCGACGTTGTATCACTCGAGTGCTAACTTCGGTCTGAAATCCAGCCGCCCTCGGCCAGGTCGCCGAAACCTTCAACGCTAGTCCCACGATCACCAATTTGTCTGTCGCTCTATATATGCTTAGTATGGGAGTATTTCCACTCTGGTGGTCTTCATTTAGCGAGAAGCTAGGACGTCGAACAATATATCTAGTCTCCTTCGCATTATTTGTCCTATGGAGTGTTTTGTCCGCCATCGCCAGTTCCATCGGGATGCTCATCGTGATGCGGTTGCTGGGTGGCGGCGCTTCCGCATCAGTGCAGGCAGTCGGTGCTGGCACGATTGCGGATATATGGGAAGTAAAGGAAAGGGGACGAGCGATGGGTATATTTTACCTTGGCCCGTTGTGTGGGCCCCTCCTAGCTCCAATTATTGGCGGCGTTCTATCACAGGCATGGGACTGGCGAAGCACGCAATGGTTCCTGGCCATATATGGAGGAGTAGGCTTCCTTCTCCTGTTATTCGGACTTCCAGAGACCTTGCCTCGGCCCAAAAAACCATCTGCAGACTCCCAGGAATCTGTTCAACGCTCCCTAAGTCGGGTCTCCTCTCGCCAGGTAGTTGAGGCGACGGCTAAATGGCTGAAGCTTGCGAGGATAGTTTTTATTGACCCTCTTGGAATTCTGCTTTACCTCCGGTTCCCCGCCGTCCTATTAACGGTGTATTATGGAAGCATTGCCTTTGGCTCCTTATACATCTTGAATATCAGTGTTCAGGACACATTCAGCAAGGCCCCATATAACTTTTCGATGTTAATTGTGGGTCTGCTTTATATCCCTAACTCGTTGGGATACATCGTTGCGAGTCTCACTGGCGGTCCATGGATGGACAGGATTATGCAGCGAGAGGCAAGACGTGCGAATAGGGTTGACGAAAATGGGAAGTTGATATATCGCCCGGAAGATCGCATGCGTGAAAACGCCTGGCTAGGGGCGATACTCTACCCGGTGGCTCTCATCGTATACGGATGGACTGCTGAAAAGGGGGTTTATTGGATTGTTCCAGTATGTATCCCCTGCTTTCGTGCTTGTATCTTGCACCTTTTCTCTGATGCTGATTTGTATCGACAGATCATATGCAACTTTTTCTTCGGCCTCGGCTCAATGATTATCTTCAGCATGTCCACGACCATGCTAACCGAGTTCATGCCCAAGAAATCCTCCTCTGGAGTCGCAGTGAACAATTTTGCGCGAAATACCTTCTCTTGCATCGGCGGTATTGTTACGGCGCCTATCATACATGGAATCGGGAATGGCTGGCTATTCACCATCATAGGACTGGTAGCATTGGCAAGCTGCTCGGTGATCTGGGCAATGAAGAAGTTCGGCCCTCAATGGCGAGTGTCCATGGACGCACGACTGGGGTAACTAGAGCGTTGCATTGTGTCTGTTCTTCGCCCTGCCGGCTTTCGTTTCGTGTCCATGGACATACATGCATACACTGCTAGATAGCACTTGCAACTGCAGTTCGGAAACCTTCGGAGTTTATTTGCGTTCCCTGGTTTCGCATTTATGGAGTTTGATTGTTTGTTGGATATGAGAAAACATTTCGTGCGTCAGATCAACGAGAACCCCATTTTCTTCCTTTCCTTTTCTTTCCTTTTTTTTTTGCTCGAATACCCCCGCTATGTCTAAAATTTTCCTTTCCCGCTATATCGTTCGTGGACAAAGAATACGGCGATAGACCAATATGAAGTCCGTTCTTTCAAAAGCCATAGTACTTGACGCACACAAAGTCAAACCGTCGCCCTGCCAGCCCCGTGATGACCTGGACATACGTCCTGGATCACTACAGCCTAGGTCAGGTAAACTCTAAAAGTCGGATAATAAGGAAATCTAGAAGGATAGTGTGGTTTGCGCACCCAAAAGCCAGAGCCCAGCTTGCAACTCCAGGTTTCCAGCCTAATAATAGAGACTGCGATCCTTCAAGCCCCTAAAATTCTCCCAGCATAGAAGTCGGTCAAGTCGAGGTCAATCCTCTCTCATAGATCATAATGATTCTTACGGCTGTGAAAAGCTGGCTGTGATGGATGTATGAAGACGAAGAATGGAGTAACAGAGTGACTTTGACAGTGATCACTTGGCTAACCAGCTAGTTAATGAGCTAGTTAGTTAACTACCTAGTTAAGTTAGTTGGCTAAGCTTTCAATCCTGCGAGACAAACTCTTGCAGGTCATGTTCCATGATGATTCGACTCCTCGTCGTGTCAATGGTAACCTAAATCAGAATTTTCGTGCTCAGAGGATTTTGGTCGAACGATATATCAGCCCCCCTACTTACCTTATTGTCTCCCGCATTGCTCTCTGCATTCTTCGTATCTCGATGCATACTATATAATAACCCAAGTCCAGGTCGAGCCTTTTCTGGATCGGATCTATATATTCACAAATCTTGCTCATGTTTCTCACTCTTCGACTTCTCGAGAAGCTCGAACAGGCAATCTAGACGATAGTATTTCAAACAAAGGATAATGATGTAGTCACTACTTATAGTGATGTTGACATTTAAAAACATCCTATCCATCTGCTGGATTAGTTTCGTTTCTCACCCTTCGGTGCCATGCTGTTTTACTTGCGTCTTGCTCTCCTCCCCCCCCAACCCCCAGCAGCAACAAGAGCCAGACAGCTTTAGTTAAGGATACAGAATGAAATCACCGACCCACTCGGATGCGTGTGTGCTGCTGGCCCTCCTGGTGCTTGTCACATCACTGCT